TAATTTTATAATTTCAGAGTTTATTGAATTAAATAATTAATTTCTATAAAGTTTTGGATGCTTTTTACATATAATATCATGTATTGTAACTTCCTAAAGTGTGAAAGTATTCATATATTATTTAAATAATTCAGATTGAGATTAATACAGAAAGATAAATTTAATATAAATTTAACGAAAACATCAAAGAAAGTTGCATATCAAATATGGAGAAAGCACATAGATAAAATGATATAATTATAACTTGAGGCATTTCTCTCAATATCGTATAATTAAAAATATATATAGTCGAAAACTAATAGAGGATTTATTTTGGAAAGAAATTTTATATTGATATCATCTGTAATATATACGTACACTAGATTTCACGATAAATAATTGATTTGCGAATTGACCTTTTTTATATTATTATGAAATGAAAATATTAAATAAATAAATATTTTTTAAATAAACATTCGTACTTATTTATATGTATTTTTTCATTAAAATGGAATTATGAATATTATTGAAAATTTATTTTTACACATATTTCATTATTATATGTGCATAATTATCCGCCGACGAATCTCTCTTACATTTATAGTTATATTTATATTATATTGTATTTATATTTATTGATTGCATTAATTGTGTAAGCATTTCTCGAGCACAGGAAAATATCGGATCGTTCTCTCTCATTTCGCAACTATTTTGCCACTCATCACTTCAAGTTTATATTTAAATTTTCTTGCAATTATTACAATCTTTTCTTATTTATTTCTAAGTTATTTTTTTCTAAGAAAAGAGTTTTCCTTTCTTATCTTCAAAAATTGTTAAGACATCGGAACTACAATTCCACAGTGAACAATACGCTCTGGGACGCTTTATCCGAGGTATCAAACTGTGAGATTTCGCGGAAGTCTCAAAGAAGAAACGAATAAAAGAATTTATCTCGAAATACGCTCCGGCGACACGAAGGTGCGCCGTCGAGCATGAAGGGAAAAGGAAGTGGACACGCGCGTCAGGTCGGCACGTCTGGAACGCGGACTATTTCTGGACATTCCTCGAAGAACTCGTCGCGGGCGCTTTACGAAAAAAATCGGTTCCTGGTCGAGCTTAGTTTAGACATGCGTTCCGATTGTTCCAAAAATAAAATCCTCGGAAAATTAACATAAACCTTCAGAAATGTCTCATTATTTAATTTCTTTTCGTTGAATTTATCGTGATTGCGAATTGCAAATTGTAAAATTAGAATCCACAAGATATCTATACGCGTTTCTTTTTATAATTAAATTATTCTTGCGTGATATTCGATGAAATTAGCGGAAGCTTTAAGTGAACGAGAGAATCATTTTTTCCTGAAATTGTCTTTTCTCTTTCATGTTTATGTAAGTTTATCGATAGTATGCGAAACCACCAACAATACACCGCTTATACAATCGAGATTCGCTCCGATGAAAGACCGAAGCGTTCGCCATATAATTTCCGCGAACACTAATTGTTCAATCAGAAATTGCACGAATAGTTGCGATACTCGAGGCTCTAATTACAATACTAACGACGGTGGAAAATATTTCTCCCTTACGTGGCGTATATCCTATGCAATTTTACCTGATCTCTTTTTTTTGCGATATGTTATATCGACGCAATACTCAATCGGATATCGCGTAAACCGGTTATGTTGCGCAGTCGTCATAAACAATATGCGCTGGTGCGTCAAGGTGGAATGAGTCACAAAAATGTAGAACGGAATAGAAAAAAAAAAATATATGTCGATCCTGCCAGGATTCGAACCTGGAATCTTCTGATCCGTAGTCAGACGCGTTATCCGTTGCGCCACAGGACCACTTGATTACGAAACAGTTTTAAACGATCTATCAACGGATAGAAAAATCGCCAAATATAAACGAAAAATATAAATGTTTTCAATATTTTCATACTTTTACATAACAATAATTATTATAATAAATAATGCCACAATTTATCACAATATTATTAATATTTTATAGGATGTTTTTTTTTTATTTTGTGTGCTTATTTTGTAAATTTCTTTTATGTTATTAATAATATATAAATATTTAATAATATTTTAAATATTTCAAAAATATTTTCTATTTATCGAGTTTTATAAATACCTTCAGATTTACGTCAAAAAAATGTCCATGGATTTATGGAAATTGTTTTGTTTATTTTAAAAAGAAAAAGTTTGTGTCAATTTTATTAATATATATATATATATATATATATATATATATATATATAATAGTAAGAACAAATAAGGTAGAAAATTGAAGTGACCGGATGTCCTAGTTTCCGAGGACATGTCCTCTTTCGATGTCCTTCAGGATTTTTAGAGCTAACCTAATTTTATAATTTACGTTAAAAGATTTAAATGTATTGATACTAACAGTATTAACATTTTAAAATTAAATAATTAGACATTCCTAATAAACTTTACGTTATTCTAAATTCAACTTATATACGTAATCTCAAAATTTTATTTCAAAAATGAATTTATCAAACAAATAAAGAAACTGTAAATTATACAATAAATTATACAGTTTCGTCTTTATTTAAAAATTGCAAATATTCTAATTTCTTTCGCACTATGATTCATGCAAATTCCGGGTAGAATTCAACTGAGGGCAAAGCAAATATCTCTCTTCAAGATACAATTTATCCACGATATTCCAAATGCAAATTTTGCAACGAAACGCATTTCTCTTCCGTCGTGTGATATTTCATTGGATTCTGGAAGACACACGACGATGTTGACTTTGACTTCAAACGTTAAATATGAATCGATCTTTAAGTTTGATAAGTTTGAATTTTCTTTGATAACGTAACGATTGAGATGTGGTTGAATATAATATAAAGCGATGCCAAAAATATATTTCTAAATATATATGTATATAATTTAAGTTTCGATATCGGTGCTCTAATTATTATCAACTTTTCTATTCACATTTGCAACTATAATGAAAGACCAAAAATAATCGAAACAATTAAATATATCCCAATAATTTTTAATTTCATTAAAAAGCTTGCGCTTTATGTGTAAGTATCGATCTCTTATTTGTTTATAAATCGCAAGACGTCCTTCCTTTCGCAAGAGGCGAATATTTTACGGACAGGTTGAATTGCAGTCGCGCATCGATCTCTAGGCAAACCGCTCGTTTTCGCAGCGCCCAGCATCACATAAAATGCTCTTCAGTCGGACGTGTCGAACGTAATACATAGACACATCCAAGTTTCATTTTTAAAGTCTCATAAAAGAGCTTTCTTACGAGTAAAAAAAACAATCTTCCTGAACGTATAAATATATTATATTCAATAGATAATTCAGTCATATGTCAGTCCTCTTTATTTATAATTCTCTTTTCTTGTATGATATAATTATTTTATTTTTTTGTGTTTTAAAGAACGCCAATTAAATTATATATTGTATATTAATAATATATAAATATATGGATATAAATATATTATATCCAGTAGATAATCCCCAATCCTCTTTATTTATAATTCTTTTTTCTGTATGATATAATTATTTTATTCTTTTTGTATTTTAAAGAAAGCTAATTAAATTATATATTGTATATTATTAATATATAAATATATTATATTGTATATTATTATAATTTCGTATTATACAATCTTGTATGGAATAGTTTATTAATATACATATATATATATATATATATATATATATATATATATTTGATAACGTATTTGTGATGTCAATATTAATTATCAATATATATATAAGGTATATTGATGACAAATTAGTCATATGTGGAAATTTCAAACAACCTAATATTTACATTTAATCACATTATGATTTAATTGATCGACGACGTTAGATTATACGTGATTTTTTTTTATTTTGCACATAAAGACGATAAAATGGAATACCCTTTATCGCGATATCGAAGATATATAAGAAGAAAAGCATACTCATTTTCCGAAAGAGTGCGACGAGATGCACGAGTGGGGTATTGTTTCTCGCGATTCATCTTTCGTATATATATCGATGGCAATGCATACGAACGTGTTCTGTTCTGGAAGTTCTCGATAGCTGTGTTTGACGCGTGTCATGTTTTTTAACGAACGTGTACAACAGTCGGTCGACAATGGTAAATCAATACGCCACGATGTAATTTTCAGAGAAATCTCGGTGTAATCAAATATGAGCTAAAAGAGAGAGAGTGAGAAAGGGAGAGAGAGAGAGATCATAATTTCAATATTTACGGAGGATATTTAATCACCTCGGTCATTTCTGGTTTCTTGATGAAATTTCAATAAAAAACCGAGATGATAATTCTAGCATCCGATATCGGAAGCTTATAACACAAATATGTAATCGGAAAAAGTGTTTATATTTTTCACGCCCGGCCTATCTTTTAAATTATTACGTTATCGAAGAAAATTGACAACGCCTATCATAATTTAAAGACTGATTTACATTAGATCTTTTTTTTAAGAGATTATAAATTCAAGATATTAGATTTTATTATAACATTACAATAAAATAAAATAAATAGAATAAATAAAATAAAATAGATACATTATATTACAAGTATATATTTTTATATCACTATCTTTTCACTTGTAAGACGATACAACACGAGGAGAAAAAAAGTTTCGTTTGACTTTTTTCAAATAATTCGTATAATCGATTTATACAAAAGGAAAAATGTATGGTTATGCGCGGACAAAATACAAGGATAATCGCATAATTCTGTAACCTACGAAATACAACATCGTTTTTTACGTAAGATATAAGTAGCGAGAAGAGAGAGAATTAGTGCAGAACTCCTTTTTTCACCGCATGCACAACAGCGAGTCGATAAGCGCGCGCGAGGCCGTATTTATGTCACGTTGATAGCGAGCAGCGTGTTAACGCAAATAAGTCACCCCGTGACGCAAGACTCGCCGAAGTTGTTCAAACGTGGCTAATTCAAATTCAGCAAATTCGCCAAACCCGTCAGCTTGATAAACGATAAACGATACTTGACACTTACGATTAGCCGCAGGGAAATTTGGCGCCCGATGTCACCCCGTACGTCGATCGTCCGAAAGAGAGAGAGAGAGAGAGGCAGGAAGGGTGCTTGGTGTCTGCTCGCGCTGGACTGCTGCTGGTCACACGTATATATCCGGTCGATGTGTTTGCGCACTGCGTTGAAAAATGCGCGACGGGCTCTTCGATTTCGCGATCGCGAGTGACGCTGCGAGTCACGTGGATCGCATTATCGCGCGCGTCCTGTTCAGAGAAACGCGAGCGCGGCCGAAACGCGCAGCGAGCCCCCGCAAACCGTCGTCACGCTCGCCATTTTGATTCACACTGACTGTTGTTTCGTTGCGAGCGGCGGAGTGTCCTGCGCGGGGCGGCGAGTGCGCATGCGCGCGACAGGTGGCTGCCCGGGTGTCGCACCGTCCCTTATTTCCCCTCCGCGCGTCACCGCAGGTGACGGCGAATTCTTGCATCTATTTTACCGACGATAAAATTTTATATAATCTTATATATGAATGAAATATATATACATATATAAAATATCGATATATTAAAGATACGTACGCACAAACCACTGCGATATAAATTTATTTCATAACAATATTCACAATAAACATTGCATTGTATTTAGAAGTATGAGAAATTGTCATTTTATCAGAGGCACGAACGAAGAACTTGAACGTCAACTTGAAATAAATTTCTGACTGTCATTGAAGAGGTAATTGAAGAACGGCAACATTACCGACTACTTTTACTCCGAAGATATATGAATATTTTAATTTATTTATTATCCAGTCAGTCACTCCGAAGATATATGAATATTTTAATTTATTTATTATCCAGTCAGTTATATATCAATAATAAATATTTTCTTCAAGAATAATAAATATAATTAAATCAGAAAATCTTTTTCACGTTAATTTTCCTAATATCATTATATTCTTTAATATTTTATCTTGATACCTTCAGCTAAAAAATTAATGTACAATAATAGTTGTCGGTAACATATCGAGAGATCTCACTTTATCATTTTTTAACTAATCATGAGCAGATAATAATGAGGAAAAGTTCCAATTTATATAAATAATTTAAAAATTTTTAATTTAAATAGGTAATAAACAAAATGAAAATGTCAGGAATAAAAAAACAAAATATTTTCTATTAACAAAATATTTTCTATTAATAAAAATAATAAAAAATTGCACAATTTTAATTATAACTTTACAATATCTGCATCATTTATATACTCTGTTGTTGCATATTGTAAATTACAATATTTCTAATTATGATATTAATATTTTTTTAATGTAAATATTGTTGCAAAAATTAAAAAAAAAAAGATGGCCCATGGGGGGATCGAACCCACGACCTTCGCGTTATTAGCACGACGCTCTAACCAACTGAGCTAATGGGCCTTCTTACAAACAGCTCTCTGTGACAGCATTTTCTGTACAACTTCGTCATTCATTTAATTCGGAAATAATATTAAATGTATTTTATACAAGTATTTTAATGTCAAAGAGAAAAAATTGTTCGGTCAATGGAGTCGAATCTTCGTCTTTCATTATATCTGAATACATTCCAACTAATGGACTATGTTGCTAATTTGATTACTTTAATGAATTCATTTTAATGAATATTCAGAACTAATAATGTATGTATCTTGTAGAAATTTTTAATAAAAATTTAATTATGTAGGAATAAAAACGTATGAAACAAAAATAGAGAGCTTCATCAAGATTTAATTTAATGTGTCGATAAATTATTATTACGATATTATATATATAATAGTATTGGATTTATTTATTTTTATTTTTTATAGCTAAACAATTTCTTTATTAATTAATGATTTTCTCTTTATTAAGTAAATTATAAATTATTTTAATTATAAATTATTTTATAATTATATAATTTAATATATATATATATATATATATATATATATATATATATATAATTTTTCGAATATCATTCTTACAAGTGTGTTATATCATTTTGTTAATGATATACATAATAAAAACACGTATTTGAATTTTCAAATACGTGTGAATTTTCAAATTATTTATTTGCGTGAGCAGATTCTTATTAACTTATCATGTCTTAATGTCGTATGAAATTATATCTTCTTGCTCAATTTTGAAATAAAGTTGTTTATGAAACGATTTCGCATTAACCTTTAGACTTCAGACATCAGTCTTTTTATCTCTTAAGGTCTATTTACACATATTCGTGAGTACCATATCAGTATCGTGTCAGTAACATCCGTAATGTATCAGTGATGATTATTCACATATATCCGTATAGTTCAATCCGTATCAATCCGTATCAATCAGTTCTCAGTGATTTTCAAGGTGGCTCAGTTTTTTATATTTAGGATGCGATAAATCGTATAGCACGGGATATTGACGCACTAATTCAATAAGTTGTTCATCATTCATTTTTACAAGCTTAAAAATGTCTATATAAATATAAGTATAAGCTTATAAAGATTTTTCCATGTCAAGCAAATTACTTTTTTTAAGTCAAGATGTGGATTTGAATGCAAATAAAATATTATATTAAGCATAATTTTACTGTAAAATTTTATCGTAAAATTACACGATATAATATTTCACTTTCATCTAAATCCACGATTTGATCCAAGTGATCTGCTTGGCATCAAATACTCTATAAATAAATTTACTGACCGTCGTAATGTATCCGTGAAAAAGCAAAAATATCGTTTGCAATAAACACAATATTACTATGCGAATACTGAACTGAAACTGAACAATCCGAATACGATACTGTGTCACATGTGTAAATACGTCCATCTAAAAACAAGAGAACGATATTTATCATCACTGTCAAAACTGACAAAAAATCACGGAACTGAACGGATACGACACTGATACGTCACGGATGTGAAAATAGACTTTTATAATTTGCATCGATAATCCTTAATCCTCCAACTTCCAAACACCCAAGGACAGTCATCCTTGTCCAAGAGCACGTCTTTGTCGCTTGTAGAAAGAGTTCATGAACCCTATATCGATTCCACTATTCATAGACACAACAAAAGACAAGTCAATGGACTGCTGTTCGTTTCGATGGATGTATTACGTAGAGTGTATGTTAACAGCAAATCTATAACTGACTTCCTTCTTTTGCAACTTATATATAAAGTATAAATTGCTCGGACGTCAACGAACATATGTTGCAAGGGCACCACTGTAAAATCGGTGCCCTTCGAGGACAATGCAATGTGTTACGATTACGATGCAATTTCTCAATTTGAACTCTTAATAACTCAAATTAATTGATTAATTCGTATTCTTTCTCTTAAATAAATATACGTCATAAAATAAAAAAATCTCATATTATACTAACAATAAGATGCAACATGTCAATATACACAAGTTTTATAAAAAAATAGTAAAATAACAAAAGCTCTTAATTTACAATGTAAAACTGAAGATATGGAATTATAATAAATAAATATGTCATAAAATATGTATATTTATGAAAAGCTAAATCAGCTGTCTTGCATATATGAAAAACGTAACTGTCAAAAAGAATATCACATAAGCATTAAAAACAATAGACGCGAGTTTTTATATTTTACAAAGTCAAATGCGCTAAAATATATTAATATCATATGCGAATCATGAATGAAAAAATTTATACGCATTTTATTATGTTATGTTTCTTTCGTAAAATTGCCCGAAATGCTGAGAAATTCATATGTAATGTCGGAATGATGTAAAAATGTGGCCGGAATAATAATTAAAAGAAAATTGTTTCTCTACAATAAAAATTTTAACAGAAAGTATTATTATGTTGCTAAAATTACTTATAAGAGATAAAGAGACAGATCTCATATCTCTTCTATGTTGAGCTAAATTTTGTGGAAAAAAAAAGAAATGAAACATCAGATTTTTCCTCTACCTTTTTACTTTATAATAGATATATTGCGAACATTTGTAATGCACAATAAAAAAGAAAATAAGCTAGCACCTTTATTCTGTCTCTTTTTCTTTTAAACGTTCTTTAGAAATATACATGGCTTAATGCCGTGTTATGTCTATACGTTTATGATTTAACAACATTTCACAATATTTCTTATTTGCATGTTGTGTGTTGTTTGTCTGAAGCAGAATTATAAATGACAATCTTTAAAAGAATGTTTTTAAGTTTATTTCAATCTTTAATTTATGAAGAAGGAGAAAGAAGAAAAGAGATAGAGATATATAGAGATAAATAAAGAAAAATAGAGAGATAAGGAAAAAAATATGTTTTTAACTTTATGTTGAAAACTCTCTAAAAATGATCGATGATTATATTTTATCTATTTATTTGAAAAATATGCATTTAATTTAATGTATTGTTAATGAAGAGAAAATTTACAATTAGTCTTGTGTGCTATTATAAATATTTGCGAATAATACGATTTATATCGCAGCCGTATTAGTTACTGCACTTTCGCTTGCCTTTCATTCCGTGCTATAAGTTTTTTAGAAATCACTATAATATTTTGTAAAAATATTATAGAATAAGTAGCAAATATGTTTCATATTTCATATGTTTCATATTTCATATGTTTCATATTTCATATATTTCATAATAAAATATATTTAATAGAGTTTAATAACAAATTGTATAAAATAAATAATAAAAAATATAAAGAGAGAAAAAGGGAAAGAACCAAAGGAAAAGTTAAAATATAGTGTCTTGCGCTAAACTAGCTCTTGGATTAAAAAGAAGCGCAAATAATAATCATTAGCTATTAAAAAAATATTATTGATGATATTTCTAACGAGTAATATTATTGTGCCATTTCTAACGAATTAATATCATATATATATATATATATATATATATATATATATATATATATAATAGTTTATTTTTCTAATAAATTCCATTGCGCTTTGTATTGCGCATTTGTAATATTTTTCTTTTATTTTCAAAACAATATATATTATATACATTATTCTAAAATTTTTTAGAGGATTTTTTTACAAAGATTCTTTTCTCACAAATTTCCTCGAAAAATACTATAAGAATAACTATACAAACATTATATGTATATTTAATACATTATATATATATTTAAAATATATTAATTTGTGTAAGAAAATATGTCATGATTAATATAATTTTATAATTTATTAGAATCATCAAATCATCAAAGATAATCATGTTATGCAAGAAATTTTTTTCTCATCTAATGAGAATGATTATCTTTCTTGCAAATTCTGATGATTCATTAATAATTCAAGATTCTGTTGACTCAAAACATATGTCGTCTCACGTTCTATTTAGAGATTTACATGTATAGAGACTTAATATGCAGTTATCAATCGATAAATGTTACGAGCGAAGGGAATCAATAAATTAGAATACTGTTCCGCGCTGGTCGTTTATGATGTATCTCGTATGCGAGAGAATAGATATAATACTAAAAAATGCTCAAATTATATTTAAACGCGTGAGTAAATAATATAAGGATATATGAGTTATTATATAATTATGAGGATATATGAGTTATTATATTATAATTTAATTTATTGATTTTTAAATAAGCGGTTTGTTTTAAAATAAATATGTATCAATAACTTCAAATAAATATGTATCAATAACTTTAAATTAATTGACAACTTAACGATAACATTTGGAACACATTAAAACTTGAATTTAAAATACATTCTAAAGTCCACACTCGATTATTATAACTACATTTAAAAATTGTCATTATATGTGTTTCTTTTTATAAGCTTGCATATACATATATGTATTGCAAATTATTTGTCCGCTAAATTATCTTTTTCATATTATGACAAGACAAATATACCTTATCATTTAAACCTTTGACTTACTGAGTCAGTCGTGAATTGTGATATCCTGTCAGTACTATTGCAGCATATTTGCAGAAATATTAATTAACGTTAATAATATTGGATTCATAGAGTACATACGATTGTGTGTTATATTCTGTTATATTGTTTTTGAGAAACGCAAAACTCGCTATAATAGCTTATAAATATATATTGTTAAGTGTGATAATATGTAAGTAATTTATCTCTCTCATAATTAATATATTTATTATATAACATATTTAGATTCAGGATAGGAAGTGAGATGAATACGAGACTATGGGCAGAGTAAGAGTGAAGGAATAAAAAGTTGCATATATTGCATATATTGTATTAAAGTTTATAGTATTATAGTAGATTAGGCCAGATTAGATAAGAACAAGTTATAATTGCAGAGTATAGTTTATATTTGCTTAGTTGTTTCAAATATTACAAATGTTAGTTTTGAATAGAAAGACAGTTGAATGTAAAATGAATATGAACATAACATAAGAAAATGTATCAAAATGTACCAAAAATGATGTAAAAACGGAAGCCATCCTCAGCCGCAAGGCATGAATTAATAAATACATACATATAACATATTTATTATATTATATAACATCATATTATATATATATATATATATATATATATATATATTATATTATATTATATTATATCCTAAAGATATCCAGAGAACAAATATTTAATATTGACATATCGATAAAATTCATTGATTGATTGTTGAATCGATACAATTAATTTTTATTCTAAAAAATAATTTATTACTCATTTACTCATTAAAATTCTTAAATTTGAAATAATTAATATGTATTGATATAAAAATGATGTCTAAATATTTTTAAATGCATTTTAGCACGAGACATCGATATAAAAATATCAAATTTAATAATACACACATTAATATGATTACAAAAAAAGCAAAAGCTATTGATTTTGAATAAATATAACACAAACAATAGATGATTGAGTTATTTTTATATTATAATTTTCTTTAAATTAACTGCATGTTCTTTCAAATTAATTTTATTCATGTGCTTAATTTTACTCTTATTATTTTATTCTATTTTACTTTTATTTAATAATTAATAATTAAAATAATATGATCCAAAGAAACAAAAAGATTAAACTATAATTAGCTACATATTAATTTCTAATATTTAACTAATTGTAATAATTAAAAATTGTTATTATAAATTACAAATTGATTAATTACTGAATTTCTATCTATTTAATTATAAGTTACGTATTACGTATTATTTTAGTTCAATAAATACAAAATTATAACATCTTAAAATTTAAAGAAAAGGAAATTCAACCTTTAACAATCTATCTCTATATGTGATTCGTTTACCAGCATTTCTAATACACGCGATACGCACTAGTTACTATCGCATATGTCATTTCAGATTCAATGAAAAGATTTAATTTATTCATTACTTTTATAATGCGTGAAATTATATCAGGATATTTTATAGGAACGACTCAGAAGAAAATGATTTATTTTTGTTCCAAATAAATTGGTCAAGAAATTTATCTACGTTATTTTTTCATATACATTTATCTATATATATTATCCAGGAATCGAAATACATATTTCTTAAACTGATGATTTTTATATTAAAAGATCTCTGTATTTTTTTTGACTATTATCTAATGCATAATATAAGAGCCGTTTATATCAAGAAAATTTATGAATATTTTATATTTATTTTTAAATTAAGCGCGAGAGATAAGAATATCTTATTTCAGATTTCATTGTTGCGAATTTGTGCAATCTTTAACTTAAGAATAAGAAAAAATGTTATCAGTTATGTAATATTAAAATTTGTAAAATTTGTAAAATTTATCAAATAAATGTTTAATTAAATATCTGTCAAGAACGGTTTTAAATTAAAGATTTGCAATGTTAAAAAATATTTAAATTTCATAATGATTTAGAAAGATGATCACCAGATTTATAAAATCATTAAATTGCAGTCTTTAAAATCGTTGCATCGTATGCATCATTATGCAACGATTTTAGAGACTGATTTCTTCTTAGAGCTCGCAAATACATATTTTTTGCATATCATTGTATTTTTTATTGCTGCACCATTGACTATAAAGTCAATCACAAAGATCATTAATTACCAAGTATTGCAAGAATCTTGTAAAGAAAACATGCGGAAGATATTTTTGCATTAAATATGGATAAATTATAAATCTTATTTAATATTATAAATATAAAAAAATAATGGATAAAACTGGATATAACTGGACTTTGAAGTATAGAAACTTTACTGGGATATATATAAAAAGTATAATATTCAAGTACACTGCTATTAAAATAAATAAATCTCTGTCTAAAGATTATACATGTATGTATGTATTCTATGTAAATGTTCTGTACAAGTTCATTTTACTTCAATTGTATATTCTATTGCTTAAGAAATAATTAATCAACAATTTATCGATGATCATATATCATTAGTTTATATATCGTTAGATCACATACACAGAGAAAAAATGTATACTGTATTCAAGTAAATATTATTTATTTTAAGTATATTATAAGTTTATAGTTGTATATCCGCAAATATATCATAAGTTTACCACAAGCATTAAATTTAATTGAATATATTCTGAATTTTAGTAAGTGCAGTATTTTAGAATATTAAATTAAATTAAAACAAAAATTTGGTAACAATTTGGCAACAAGAGTTGACGTAAAGTAAGTTTGATTTTTCTTTGATACAACTTTACAATATTCTTGAAGAAAAAATAAATTCTTCTTTTAAGTACATGATAATGAGATTTTCTAACACTTGTGATGGGTATATTTTAAGATTATTATTAAGAATATATTCTTTGTTGAAGAAAACTATTACTTAAAAAAAGAAAAATAAATTGAGTAATCGCTTTTCTTAGCAGTAGAATGATATTTTTCTCTGTGTATCATTAGTTCGCTATCAGACAAGATGCATACAATGTACATAAATGAAAAGTATATTGAAGACAGACAAAAAAAATTGTAATTTCTTGAAAGAACCAGTTTGATACAAGCAGTTAAGAAAATTAAAAATATGAAATAATCGGCGAATTTTTTATTTCATCAAGAATTAATATTAATACAAAATATAAACTTAAAGGTTCCACAATCACATTATTCGACGACATATATTCAATGTGCTTGCTGTAAATGCATCCATGTGAGCGAATCTCTTTTCGTTCAGCCGGTTTGAAGTCCTTGTGGAACGAAAGTGAAATTGCGCAAACGATCCCGAAAGCAATCTATTGGCATGCGATTTGGATCGCGAGGAATCGCGCGTAAATTTGGCGCAAGATCTCGTAATTTCTTTTTTGCGGGAAAAATGCATTTCGATGTTGGCAAAAGTGTGGCACTTTAAATTCAAAATCATCTCGAAATTTCTCCAAATATACAAATGTAATTATAAGATTCGATATATGTTTTAAAACTGTATTAAAATTATTTCTATCCGTAAGATAAACTTGCGAGCGTGATTTCTTCACGATGATGGCAACATCGATACGTAAAACTTTAAAACCATCATTACAGAGTAATCAACTAGTAAAATAATAAGTTAGCAATCTACAGAGAGTATTCCCATAGAGAAGATTGAATCGCGCCATCGCTTTTCTATTTAAAGACTAGCTAACTGAGAGAAAGAGAGAGAGTCCTTGGTCCCTCTTATTCAGTATCCCTCGATAAACTGTGACACAAATAGTCACGTTGCACGATGAACTTTACGTAGAATTCGCATGGTTTAATGTCACGTGGGATTCCCATAGGGGTTTCAGGTCAATATTCAAGAGAAAGAAATACTCGTATCACGCGACTTGAATTTCTTCGCGAGCTGTTATAATTTTTCCTCGAGCTACCCCAGCTCTTACGACGATGCTCTACTGGCGGAAGTGCGGACGCGTACCGAACGGTCACCCACCCAACCATCCAGAGACGGCTTCGCTTTAATAGACGTTTCTACTGCACGTTGATAATGGTTGCGGTCGTCTTATAGTCAAACATCTCTGGCAACGGCCGATAGCTCACGCTCGCGCGTCGACCAGCTGTCGCGATTGTGGTAGTGATGGAAAATCGCGTTGGTAGCGGTCAGGGAAGCTCTATAGCTGAACATGGTTTAGTCGTGATCCGTACGCAAACGGCGACGGTTCGTAACTTATCCAAGTTCATTCGTGTTATCTTTGGTATTCATCTAAGATTTAAGGCTTATTCATCACCGATAAGAGTGAGTAGTTGAACGTAATTTGAAAGATTCCTTTTTGATAGATTTGCGCGGAGGAAAGGAAAAGTGAGGGAATGATGTGTCCGAGTATGAAATATTTTGAAAATTGAACTCCTTTTTAACTAACGCTAAGTTAAAAGTTGATTTTATATTTTGTATGAGATTAATTCCTGATAAAAAAAAATTGCCTATTTTCTATTCTTAATATTCTCAACTGATTATATGACTTATATCAAACTGGTTCTTTCAAAAAATTACAGTTTCTTGTTCGTCTTTAATAATTCTAACGAACGCAGACAGATGTGTCGCAAGAAAAACTACGCAAGATGAGTTATAAATAGTATACAGTGTGTAATTTTGTTCTTTGAACTCGTCCTTTCTAATTGTTTTTAATTATTCTGATAATCAATTAGTTATGAATGTTTTCTTTATTGAAGAATAATATTTTTTGTAATTCTTAATATTTTTCGATATTCAATGATAAATTAAAATTTTATTAATATATATAGTTTATTAAAAATGAAGTAAATTGTGCAAATTAAATAAAATTAAATATTTTTATAAATTTTCAACTTATTTCATAAGCGAAATTTCTACAGTGAAATCTTTGAAATTATTCAAATATCGATTAACCGAAGAAATAAACATCAAAATTATTTTTGATGGACGTTACATACAATAATTTTCCAGTTGTTTTTCTCTCATAAATAGATAGAATTTTAGCGAAATGTAAATATTCGACTAAAAAATATAAAACAAGAGTAGTAAATAATAATTAATTCTTCGACCAATAATGTTGTAATCAAAAAAGAATCGAATATAGAATTGATAAATTATTTGTGATATAAAAAAAGCAAAAATTTAAAGTATAATGAGAGTTTGTCTGTATTCGAGATTATAAAATTCGTTTACAAAAAAATAATAAATATTGAACAGACATTTAATCTTGTGTTGATTATGTTAAAAATTCATTAAGCAGTTTATCCCCCAATTTTAATTCGATTAAACATTCTGTTGTATTAAAACACTGATATCAAATTAAATAAAAAAATGTTTGCGAAGGAAAAATAACTTCTATCTTATTCTTTAAAGAATATACTTCGAATGTTTCGTAAATCTTGTAAGGCAAACAACACTTGTGTATTTCATAATTTTTTTATCAGTCTTATATTCACGCCAATGTTATTATAGATAGACATACTTTGCAATACAACATGATTATGTGGAACAAGAAAAATTTCTAACATATAATTTTGAATGAGGTAATCTTGAACTTTATAAATTAATCGGATCAATCATTATAAATATTCCAAATATTAAAGATTAAAAAAAATTTTTCAAATAAAATTAGTTAGTACTCGAAGTCTTCATTTCTCATATAAATGTGTATTGTAATATATTAATTAGCCAGATCAAGAAAATTTTACGGAAACTTAATTCTCAAACTTAATATAAGAATTATCCAATGTATAAAGAGGATAGTACATCATATTGAAAAGAAAATATCAAGAAAAAGTAAAAAAGTTCAATGCTACTCTTTAGATATATGAGAGGAAAATATTTTCAAATAATTCTGCGTTTCCAAACAGAGTCTGATATTCGCAAAGCTAACAAAGAATGTGTGTGGAAAGATAGTCGGGAAGGTGGGAAGAAACCATCTGATTCGCTACCTTCATGGTCAAAATAAAAGGATAAAGACAAAATGTGGTTCTGAACTGGTGCCGGCAGTATTTACGAAACATATTTATCGGTTATAATTTTTAGGTATTGCCTGGCGGTAATACAAAAATATATAAATAAAACATTTACGTATATTATTATCAGCTCATATATATAATATATTCAATCTACAAAAACATACATTTCTATGCATTAAAACATGTTGATAGAAAATTAAAATTCAGACGTTCACTGTATATACACTTATATTTTTCGGTAGATTAGACTCTTGTCACTCAAACGTGCCGTTTTACGTTGTGGCCTTGTATTTTGAATTGCGTGTGTAAATGTCGCGTGATTAATCTCTTTTTTTTACATTTTTGAAACGTGTTAATGCCAGTTTTTAAAATTGATTTTGATTAGATATATAATAATAATTGTGTATAATACTAACCATCAATACATAAAAGTTCATTATTTTAAATTTTTATTACATTTGTTTATCGATTAAAAAATTTGAAGCAACACAGTCCATAAAACAATGTAAGAAGTATATGACGAATATAAAGTGCACATAGGAAAAAATACTCCTCGAAATATATATATATATATATATATATATATATATATATAATATTAATAATTCAATATATCTTTATAAATAGGTAAATATATATATGTGTGTGTATACACACACACACACACACACACTGTATATATATATATATATATATATTTACCTATTTATAAAGATATATTGAATTTATTCTCAACATAAGATTTAAAAGTATTTCTCTTAATGAGGTATATAAAAATACTAATTTCTTTAAATATTATAAAAATTTTGTTTTTTCTTCTTCGTAATCGAAAATATGTCATTAAAAAAGTTATATAGATATATAAGAGAAATCACAAATAAAATTAATATAAGTAACTACGTAGATAACTAGGTATGCGAAATAGGTGCAACAATGAGCTCATGTCATGATATGTGACACGTAATCAGTATATACTGCCCACGATTGTTGCAGTAACCTAGTTCCTTCAATGAGATAAAAAGTCGAATATATCTCAAGTTACTCTATTTCTAAAAATTTTCGTATTATTTAGAGAAATATGAAAGAAACTTATTGTTAGAAAAAAAATTCAATAACAAATTATCACTCGATGTTATTACAGAATCTATAGTTCTGATTCAGCCTCAATGACGTAAGTTATTACAGTAGCAATTTATTGCCATTTAAAGATTAATAAATTTAATCATACTCAATCAAGATACTCTAACTCATGTTTTTTTTTTCTAAGAAAAAACTACAAAAATATAACATTACAATTTGTGATTTTTACAAATCATTACAAGATCGAAGCGATAATTATGTTACTTATGTTTTGTTATTGAAATTGACATTTAAAAAAACCCAAATTTTAAAATAGTAATAATATTGCAGCGATAATCTCAAAATAATTAGACATCATATTTTTAAATATGATTTATGATTCGCAATGTGCAATTTGTTATTACGATTTAATTATTCCTCTTGCGTACAAAGAACGAATATTATATAACACAACTTAGTTGTGCATTACAACCTTCTTGATTTCTTGCTATCAAGTTTAAATTGATACATATATAGTGTAATCACGCATATGCACGCACGCGAAATATATATGTATGTATATATATAAAGTTTATTATCATATTTTTATAGTATATACAGAATAAATCATAGTTGATATATATATATATATATATAAATATAGATAGTTGATAGATACTCTATTATAATAAATTCTTTGCGCTATAAAAAATTATTTTTAAAAAATTACTCAATAATAATATTATTAAAATAACAAATTATACCAAAATTTCGTCAATTTTACAGATCGACATATCAGATAACCATGGTAAAAGCATACAATGGTGCGTTGCTCTTAGCGGATGTCTTGCTGCTTATTTTGAAGATTCTATATTACATTTGCGAAAGCGTGTATAAATTTTTCGTCCCAACAGAAGAGAAGAGCGTAGTTGGTGAAATCGTTCTAGTATGTATTAAGTTTACAAAAATTCATGTAATTTAATAAAATTATTTTTACATTAAATAAAACAATAAAACGCAACAATTACATTCAACTTAAGTTGCGACTTATTGTTAGATGCATATAAATAAAAATATATTGATTATTAAATGATGATCGTTAAATAATTTAAAAAAATTTTCATTTTAAAGAAATTTTTTCTTTTTTGTTTTCTCTAGAAGTTTATATTATGAGTATATAATTTCATGTTCCCCCATTCCGTTTAATTCAAAAATAAATTATGACGAGTGCAATTCGTTATTAATTCAAAAATATGTTTTTATAATATAAATATAATCAATTATAATAAAAATAAATGTAATTATCATATATTATTTATCATCTATAAATTCGCTCGTATAAGCAGACTTTCTTCCATTGAACAATATACACATAATTATAATTTATTGTAAAGAATATTTTACATAATTTTAATTTTTTATATGATGCACTTCTTCGAAAACAATTTTAAGGCAAATTTGGAATGGAGGAGAATTAATACTCTCATTTATGTAGTAAAATAAATGAAATTTAATATTATCTTTATTTCTGGAAACCATAATAAATAATTTTAAAAATATATGTAAATTAATAACAATTATGTATATTACATCTTATTATGTTTCTATAGATAACAGGCGCGGGTCATGGTATCGGAAAAGAATTGGCACTCCGTTACGCATCTCTGGGCGCAACCGTGGTATGTTGGGATTTAAATCAAGAAGCAAACGAGGAGACATTGAGCGAAATAAAAAAAACGGGAACAACTGCAGCATATGCGTATCAGTATGTATTATTATTTTTTCTTTCTACAAAAATAAATATAAAATCAAATAAAAATAAAATCGAGAGAAATCGAGATGCGTTATAAAAATTACAATTCGATAAGACAAATTCAATTAAATTCTAATAAAGCATCTTTATTTTGATACGCAGATGCGATGTATCGAAAAGGGAACAAGTCTTCAGCGTAGCCGAGAAAGTCAAAAAGGAAGTCGGTGACGTTACTATCTTGGTTAACAATGCTGGTATAATGCCTTGCCACGCCTTCCTTGATCATACAATCGACGAAATTAAACGAATCTTCGACATTAACGTACTGGCCCACTTCTGGGTAAATGAATAAAAAATTAATAATACATATGAATGTTAACTGAATATATATAAAAAATCTTTCAAACGTGTATTCTTTTTTAATAGAATTATCTAAAATCTAAATCTAAAATGATTATATATTTAATAATTACTATATATATAAAATATGAAATATTTTTTGATCGCAAGTTATTTGTAATAATATTTGTGTTCTATTGTTCTATTCAGATGCTGCAAGCATTTTTGCCAAGTATGATCGAAAAAAATCATGGCCATGTTGTTGCACTCTCGTCATTGGCAGGAATCGGTGGCCTTCCGAATTTAGTTCCCTATTGCGCTTCGAAATTCGCAGTTAGAGGTAAGCAAACTCGTATTCTTTTTAATTTTAATACCGCATTTCATGTATAACACATTGATGCGCAAAATATAGGGTTTATTCTTAATCGTGTCATGTAATTACAGGGCTTATGGAATCAATTAGTGAGGAATTACGGATATCTACCAAAGGGAAATCTTTAATCAAATTTACTACCATTTATCCATACATGGTAGACACCGGACTTTGCAAGAAACCAAAGATAAGGTAAGAGTATTTATAAGTGAAACGTATATGCACACAAAGACTGCGTTCATAAAGGATATTTCGCAGTACACGATATGTAATTCCGCTGTTAATTATTGTACTGTATGTACTATTATGTACTATAACAAATAATTATGTGCAAGACTGATTCGTAAAATTGGATATTTCATGACATATTTCTAAATCATAATGATAGATTATGCATGGATACTCACAAATATAATTATCTACATATCGTTAACTAGCTATACTTTTTACATGCAGACTAAATTTTTGGATGCGAGGTGAGCTATTGCGTTTTTTTATAGCAGAAAAAATATATGGAACACACGCATATAACGCATATAACGCAAAATAAATTTATAAGGAGTTTATTTTTGATCTTACACGTTAAGAACACTTGCACTTTAGCATTTCGAATAAAATTTATAAATGGCATGAAGTTAATAATTATTCTTTATCTATCTTAATAATTTTTTTATTATTATTAATAGTAAAAATATTTTAATTTCAATAGGTTTCCGAATGCCATGCCGTTGGTTTCACCGGGACAAACAGCTTCACAAATAATCCGTGCGCAAAGGTGCGATTATCGAGAGAGATCTGTGCCTCCAGTATGGCTGCCATTGGGCATAATGTTAAAGTAATCAAATTTTTACAAAATCTTCGAATATATAAAGATTCTAATAGCGTAAAGAAAATATTCAAAAAAATATATTTCGATACATTAATATTTGAAATTATAGTTAATGATATAAAAAAAAATTGTCAAAAACAAATTGATGCAGGTAGAAAGGAAGAAAAAAAGAGAGAAAGAGAGAGAAAATCCGTCAATTTGATTTTTGATCAATTTTATCAACCAATTTTACTTTAATATTTATTTGATAAACTCAGGATATATACATATATTCCATAATTATTATTAGACTTTTCTCATAACATGTGAATGCCAATTTTCGTTAATATCAATTAATTTATCTGTTATAATTTTTTATATCTATCATAATTTTTTAAAGAAATGTTAGTAACAAATAAAAATAAGAAAAGTCAATCAATGTATAAATATTTTCATTTCAGGAATTTGCCCGATAATGCGTTATTCACCCTAATAGATTTCTGCGACAGTGGTGTCCAGGCAGTGAGCTAACAGATACAAGAAACACTCATATATATATATATATATATATATATATATATATAAAACAATTTAAAAAATCAAATCTGTGAATAAAATTTTTGATATGATTATGTATAAAATCTATTAAGTTTCCACATTTTTTATAAGATAAAATAATTCAAAATTGCCAACAGTTTTTAGATTGTTAACACGTTCAAAGTAAAACATTTTAGTTGTCTTTCTCTTTTTGATAGCTCGCTCTATATATGAAAAAAATAATTATTTTGATTAATTAATCATAAATAATTAATTGTCGTAAACACCGGAGTAATATGCATAAACACACAAGCGTAGATGTTTATACAATAAGCAACATTAGTATTGTAATTATTTTATATTGAAAGGAATTGCGTAAAAATGCTTCACCGTTGTAATCACATGAGCATATATATCAATTTTAATTTTAATGAACAGCATTATTTCGTTCTGTTAAACTGATAATCAAAATATGGTATACCTGTAATGATAAGTCGCGTATAGTCTGTTATTTATAAAACTAATAATTTACTCCGATAAACTTCTGCTCACACTTGTATGTATATTGTTATTTCATAAGAATTACTTATATAATAAATATAAATATACATTAGCAATTTATATTATTATATAACAAAGCGCAAAATGCATATATACATTATATATTATATAAAATTGTCTGCGAAATGTTATTTGGGAGTATTTCATGTATGATAATGTGCGTATTTCTTGTCGACAATATAAGTTCATCAAGAGATTGACGATTTGATATGATTCGAAGTTTTCAAATTCTAATCTATACTGCTATTTTTGCACACAACTAACTTTTGTATAATCTTTTATTTCCACTTTTTTACTTTTGTTGTGTTCAAAGATAGCATTTATATATATATATATATATATATATATATATATATACACATATAACATACCCATATTGTACACATATATCGAAAGAAATTTATTCAAAGTTACAAAATTTTGATACAATAACAATATTTATCGATGCTGTCTCGAAATACGTATTTATATCTAATTTGTCTGTTATATTTAGTTTGTTTTTCTACTAACAATAAATAAATAAATTTTCAAACATCAAAGAATTGGGAATATAAAAATAAAAGATTACAATTGTTAAGTAATTAAATAAATAAAGAGTTCACTATATGAAGGAATTAAAAGTTATTTGATAATTTCTGTAATTATATTTCTCTCATGTTTTGCGTCAAATTTGAAGGATTATCAAAAAAAATTTATATGATAGAAAAAAAAAAAGTGTTTCTATTCCAAAATTTTGTAATATAAAAAAATGAGAACATAATCTTTAACTTATTGTTAATCACATGTCAAATGTGAATCTTTTTTTATTTTTATAAAAGTTAAATCTAAAATATAGTTATAAGGATAATATAAATATAATATAAAATTAAAAATTTTGAGAGAAGAGGTCAAGTAAATTATAAATAATAGAATTGTATAAAAAAATAATTAATTTTCGATTAATTTTTTAAGTAAAGAATATTCTATTAGCGAGAAAATATATTTCATTTTTTCAAGAATTTAATGCGAGATTTTCAAAAAATATTTATATAGAAAATCGAAATCACAATCTTAAAATGTTTAATACATATTTTTTTATCTAGATTGTCTAATATAAAGTTTGTATAAACTATAAGTCAGTCTATATTAAAGAATATACACAATTATAAACAAAATTGTTCCTAAAAGGAGGGAAACAAAATAAATTAACTTACTAGTAACAAAGTTAATCAATCAAATTATAAAAAAGATAAAAAATAAGAAACAGGAAAATTTACACGTGTACATACATAATATAAATATAAAGTGAGTTATATAAATTATATAACTATTACATAAGTTAATGATTAACAACTTCTATAAATTAAAGAGTCATTAGAAGCAGCAGAATCAAAGTACAAGAATTTCAACAACTTATATAAATCGAAGAATGACCAGAATTAGTCATTAACTAAAAGAGCTTTGATCGAGATTCATCAGATTGGAAGATGAAAATAATATCACCAAAAAGAGTTTTGGATGACGATTATAATCAGGTAAATAAAATAAATCTTTCCATATTTGTGTTTAATAATTGTTCAGTTTTATGCAATAAATAAATAAAAATTTAAAAAATTATAAAAATATAAAACTGTCTTTTTAAGGAATATTGCTATCGGCAAAATACATTTTTCGCAAAGTTCTTATTTAATTATTCATAAACTATAATATTTTATTCGTAGAAATATTTGTAAAAATATATAAAATATATAAAAATATATAAAACAAATAAAACAAAAGTTTGGAAAATATTCGTTAGAAAAATTTATGTTGAAGATACTTGTATTTAATACCTATCTTTAAGTATTGATATTCATACACAATACGTACATTACATACACAGACACACTCATTGCTCCTATTTTAAAAATTGATTGAGTGAAATTAACATATTCCTTATTCTCTAGCATAACATTTAATTTTAATATTCGATAATCGATTGAACGCGGTGTTTTTGGAGTACTGAGAACTTGTGATATTATATTTATGGAATTATTAGTGCCAACGCGATTATTGATTCGAGAGGTCAAACTCGCGCCTTCTCGTTTGTCTTTTGGTCTGTAGAGTCATATTTGAGAGAGCAGTATTGTTATAAAGGTTCTTAACGGAATTTATTGTGGTTTTTGTCTCCGATACTAAAATTTAATGTAAACTGTTTTCTCTCGCTCGACCGAATTATTCTATTTATTTCTACTATTATATTCTCTTATTTTTCTAATAAACGAGTAATATCATTTCTTTTTTTTGTAAAATTCGCGTAGTTTATTTCATTGTCGTCACTTGTGTTTGTCGAATTCTATTTCTGTCTTTGTCGACTGTCGCCTGATTAAGAGCGCGTATAATCGATTAACTTTCTCTTCACCAATCCTGTCCCTCTACCGTTAGGCGAGCTGGTCGGCCCGCGGCGAGGCGGGCTAACGTTTTTCGCGATCTTTTGAGTTTGTCGAAAATTGATGCGTGAAAGATCGCATCTGGCGCCCAAATTCGATATATCGAGACGGCCCTCGCTCCGCCGCGGCTCGCGCGCGAACAATCTCCATCCTTGTTCCGCCCATCGCGAGAATAATACTTTCGTTGTTTTTGCCGGCGTTTTCGCTCCCCCTCGCGTGTTCCTCTCCAACATCCCAAGGAGTCGCGCGAAATTAATCGACTCAATTAAAATTGGAAAAATTGAGAAAAGCGTCGCAAAAATTTGGCCTCGCCGCGGGCCGACCAGCTTGCCTAACGGTAGAGGGACAGGGTTGGTGAAGAGAAAGTTAATCGATTATACGCGCTCTTAATCAGGCGACAGTCGACAAAGACAGAAATAGAATTCGACAAACACAAGTGACGACAATGAAATAAACTACGCGAATTTTACAAAAAAAAGAAATGATATTACTCGTTTATTAGAAAAATAAGAGAATATAATAGTAGAAATAAATAGAATAATTCGGTCGAGCGAGAGAAAACAGTTTACATTAAATTTTAGTATCGGAAACAAAAACCACAATAAATTCCGTAAGAACCTTTATAACAATACTGCTCTCTCAAATATGACTCTACAGACCAAAAGACAAACGAGAAAGCGCGAGTTCAACCTCTCGAATCAATAGCGTGAGCTACAAACTAAGAGCAAATAATTACATAACAGCAAAGATAATCTAATAGCCGATATATACGATAAATAGCTTAGTAATTTACTTTTTAATAGCAAGTCATGCTTGTTTTGTAAAATATGATGTATAATAATAACTGAATATTAAAAATATATTTCAATATTCTGTTATTATGCATCATATCTTACAAAACAAGTTTTACTGTCTATTAAAATGCAAATTTTAAGATTATGTAAAATAGTATATCTTTAAGTATCAAATCCTACAATATAACTTGTATCACAAATTCTCTCTCCTTTTCTTTCTCGTACTGTCTATAAATATATACTTAAATTTGTCTAAAAAACAGAAAAAAAGAGAAAGTGAGAGAGAAAACGAATCAATTCTTATTTTACTTTTATCTAAAATATATATTATTAATATTTAATATGTATTACTAACTTTTCAGATAATTATGGCGAAAATATACGATGGCACGCTTCTTCTAATAGAAATATTATTTCTTATTTTGAAAGTTTTTTATTTTTTTTGCGAGAGCATATTCACAATGTTTATTCCAATAACAAAAAAGAGCGTGGCTGGTGAAATAATTTTGGTGCGTGGAATTCATAGAATATGTATAGATAAAGAAGCTGTTTTTCTATACTAATATATTCAATTTATAAAATTAATATATGTAAATATGTTAACAAATTTATCTTATCAAAACATTATTTCATCTTATAAATTATTCTATCAAATAGCAAGCCAACTTGAATTAAAAATTTGTAAATTGTAAACTATCAAATATTCATGATAATATTTGCAACAACTATATGTAATATATAATAATAATATATATAATAAAAATATATAATAATGCTTACTAATCTGATATTTAATACATTTATTGCGATAGGTAACAGGCGCAGGTCATGGTATCGGAAAAGAATTAGCGATTGGTTATGCATCGTTAGGAGCAACAGTCATATGTTGGGATATTAATGAAGAAATTAACAAGCAAACAATGAATGAAATTAAAATGATGGGGAAAAACGCTGTATACGCATATCAGTAAATCAATGTTACTTGATTTTATAAAATAAAAAGCGATTCGAATAATTTACGCGCATACAATTAACAACACATATTTAACTACTATCAGCTGATTAAAAATTTGAGAAAAATTTTTATAGGTGCAATGTAGCGGACAGGAAAGAAGTCTTTAAGATAGCTGAAAAAGTGAAAAAAGAGGTCGGCGATGTTACTATTTTAATCAACAATGCCGGTATAGGATTTCCCAGAACACTCTTAAATAAAAGCGCCGATGAAATTACACGAGTTATAGATGTCAATTTAAAATCGCATTATTGGGCAAGTGATATATTTGAGATACACATACATAGCAATTATAAGATATACGCGCGCGCACGCGCACACACACACACACACATATATAAATATAAAGCCTATATTAGCATTATAGCATCATATATATATATATATATATATATATATATATATATAAATATAATAATTAGCAATATAATTTACATTATTCTTAGAAATAGAGATAGTACTGAAAATGAATTTACTACATTCACAATTGAAATAAGTTCAAAACACTAAATAAGTATATTCGCATGTATACATACACACGCATGCACGTACACGTGTAATTGTTCTCAACGAAATCTTTAGACGTTGCAAGCATTCCTACCAAGTATGATTAAAAAGAATCACGGTCATATTGTGGCGGTCTCATCATTACTAGCATTTAAAGGCTTTATGTATGGTACGGTTTATTGTCCCACAAAATCCGCGGTCAAAGGTAATTCAAACTTATTATTAGTCTTATTTGTATGTATAACGTGTAATTATTAACCCTTTGCTTTAAGATATTTTAATGGTACTTTTGGTGAATATAAATAATTTTATTATAATCGACTGCTATCAGTTAAATTGTTTCTATATATATCAAAATCAAAGTCATCTCTTCATTGTCGAAAAAATCAAAATCTTCAAAATATTTTTCTTTTTATATTTTTTGTTATGGTACAAAATATGTCGCCGTAGCGGTGCCTATGGAGTGCAAAGGGTTAATATAATATAATTGTAAATTGACGAATATTATGCGAATATAAATTCAAGATAAAAATAAAAATACAATTACAAAGCTATACTATTCTAATATTGTTTTCATTTGCCCATTATAGCACTTATGGAAGCTATCAGCGATGAATTACGTACATATAGCAAAGGAAAATCTTTGATTAAATTTACTACCGTCTTTCCGGCCTTAGTACTTACTGGAATTGTCAAAAATCCAAGAATGAGGTACATTTATATAATAATATAAAATTAATTAATTGTAAATAATTGTAAATAATATTGTAAATAATTGTAAATAATATTTCTTAATAACGATAAATATATGTAAATATATAAATTATAATCTTATTCATATGTATATATTTTGTAAATCAGCATATTCGACAAAAAATTAGAGTTTTTTATTAGCATTAGATCTTATATACATATACATTGAAAAAAATGTTTTAAGTAATAAAATATAAAATAATAGTTATTCTGATAAATTATTTTATTTTATTTGTCAATGATAGATTTGCAAGTATAATGAAAGGGCTTACACCACAGGAAGCAGCTTCACTAATAATTGATGCACAAAGACAGAATTTCAGAGAAAGATCTATACCTTCACATTGGCTACCGATATCTCGTTTATCAAGGTAAATCGCAGTAAATAAAAATTCAATCATTAAGTGCATAGATTTTCAAATAAATCAGTTACATATGTCAATAAGCTGCAAGGCAATTCATAAATCGCTAAATGCAAATATTATTGTACCATGTTCATATTATTTCTGTACATTCTCTATAATAAAAATAACATTTTAATTTCAGACTTTTACCCAACAAAGCACTCAATTGCATTTACGATTTCGTAGATTTCAGCGTTGATGTAGCAGATTAAAAAATTTGGAAAAAATATGGGCCCATATATATCATTATATAAATATATATACAGGGTGTTCTCAGCGAAAATGTCAATGAAGGCCATTATTTTTTGCAGGTTCCCGATTTTTGTCATCATATATCTTTGCAATTAAGTCTTAAATTAAAACTCAACTAAAGTAAACTCTCTATTTAAAATTAATCGAAGAATGTGGTTTTGTTAATATTTTATTTCTACAAAGCTTAGTTTACGAAAAACCCCTTATTTCCAATCACTTATAATTCGAAAATTATTAATGCCTCGACAGGAGGCACTTTTTCATTGAGGAAAAATCGTCTTCAAATGATCCCAAGAATCTGTCTTTGAAATGTGACGGAAGATAACTGGAACACCCTGTATACATGTATAATATATATATATATATATATCTTCCAATATATACTGTATTACTCTGAATTTGTTATTTTACACATTCAAAATATTAAAAATATTATTATTTTATAATTATAATTATTATAATCATAATAATTATTATAACCATTATAATTTTATTATTATTTTTCAATTTATAAAATAAATATATTTTGTAGCAAATTACTGTTATTTAGAATAAAAAATAATTTCAATATTTTTTCAAATTTTATGCGTATATTTTATATAAAATGTTTGAATGTAAAATATGTGAAATTAATTCCATTTAATAATATGAAAGATAAAATTTATTAAAACCTTTCATATTTAAATTAGAATAATTTTAGATTGGAATAAATTTAATACATTATCAAAACATTACATCAATAAATAAATAAATTTTTTATTCATTATCACATTCTGATTTAACGAATTGATTTCTTTATAGTGAATAAATTGATAATAATTCAAATAGACTGCTGTTCAGTTCCATAAATTTTTATTTGTTATAATGATTTTAAAAATCGTAAAAATATAGACTCGTGAGAATATCGAAGATAAAATTAATATACTACACATAGATAAATTTTGCAATTAGCCATTTAATTAAACAACTCTGATAAACCTTATTTATATCTATATATAATACAATAAAATTAATATCTATCATTTTATATTCCACATTTCTTTCCTTTATATTTTTCATTTAAATTTTTTTATCTATGGTACAAATGTAAATCCGTTTTTAAAATAGGCATAAGGTCAAATCGAACATTATTATTGCTCTTTTTCATAGTGTAATACAAATTAAAATTGTACCAAATACAAATTAAATAAATTTCAATCTTATTTTAATTTATAATAATTTATAATTTACATATAGAATTTTTATGCAAAATAAGTTAAAAACACGAGACAAAATTTAAATAATAAGATTCATTAAGCTATTTGAAAGATTCGTAAAGAAATCAGTATGCGCATTAATTACGATAAATTCTGATAAATGCGAATTTTTCTTGATATTATATATGTAATTGAATTGAATTATTGAGATATAATATTTTTATGTTAAAAACTTTTTACTTTTTAATATTTTGATGTTTTTATATCTTTGAAGTTTTTTAATAAACTTCGTTTTAAAAAAAGAAGAATTAAAATATTATATTTAATAATAGTAATCCTACTTTTATATAAACTTTTATTAATAACTATATTTTTATTAATATAATTTCATAAAAATATGAAGGTTTTAATTTCATTATAACTACATATTTTAAAATTTAGTAAAACTTAGTGTAGCAATATAACATCTACTACACGTTTTATGTATCATAACTCAATAATCCAACTATCATAATAAACAACTATTCCACATTGGAAATAAATGACGTAACATATTTGTATTAATAAATAATTCATATATTAATAAAATTTGTTCTACAGTATTCCTACATATCATAATTTCTTCTATATTAAATATGAAAAGTCATCTACAATCAATATAAATTGCATTGTAATGTTCTAATCTAATGTTATAATTATGGTAATACGATATAAAAAATTATTATATATAATTTCGTAATGTAAAACGAGATAAATTCTATTGTCATTCAATATTTTTTTAAGTTCTTTGAATTTGAAATTCAATAAATTTGTTGAAGTACAAGTCAATTATATCATTTAATAAAAGAATAAAAAAGATAACCGAAAATGTTAAATAACGAGAAATTGTATATATAACGAGAAATTGTATTAATAATTAATTTTTCACACACATCTCTTTTTCATTCGTCTAAAGTTATCTTTGCAAAATTTATAAACAAATCATACAAAAAAAGAATTTCATAATAAACTGATTTTTATCTCTTTGCTTCTCTCCCTCTATACAAAATTGAATCTTTGCATATATTAATGCTATTTAATATTAAATAATTAAATTCAGAAGTTTACTTGCCATATTATTCGTATAGAGTAAGCATTGTTATCATAATACCTTTATTGGACTTCTTGGAATATTCTAATGATATTTTGAAACTTGAGACTTGGAATGTTTTAGGATAATCTATGAACATTTTTTTACAAATGAATATATGAATAAATTACAATAACGATATAAGAGAAGAGTATATATTATTTTTATATTTTTATCGATATATAATCAAGAAATAATGCAAAAATAAATAAAAATATCGTAAATAAATAAAATTAAATAAAAAATATAATAGAGAAGTAGTATTACATTAATTATATGTATATATGTATGTGTATTAGTTGTGTAAATAAGTTTGCAAAGAGATATTGTTCCTTGACATTGTGAATAATTCTTATCAAATATAATTTAAAAAAGGAACAGTGGAAAGTATAGTAATATTATTGGTAAGAAAGTTTTCTGCTATCTGATTCTCCTTTTAGTCTTTTAAAATACATTATTCATTAAATATTCATAAGTAATGTCATTGCACGTGTGAATTGCTTTATTATTATTGTGCATCAGACCATAACAATATAACTCAACCAAAAATATTTTTACTATTTTACTTTGTTTCACTATTTTCTATTGTTTTACAAAATATATCAGTTCAAAAAAATGTTTTACAAAGTATATATTAATTTAAAAAATAATGTTAAAAAAATTCTTTCCATAATATTAATATATTATTTTCAGCTATATGATGAGTTATATAATTCAATATAATGTATTATACTTTTAGAATTTAATGTCAGACTTTCAAATCTATATAAAAGATTGAAATTAAAGTATTTTAAAATTTCTAATATATATATATTCGCGCATTGCTATTTTTTTTTAATTTTAGTACACATTTCTAGCCTATTTATCTAGCATTTTATATCAACAGAAATCCAAATGTGACGAATCAAGAGACTTGAGCGTTCTCATCATTACGAAAGTGCGGAAATGTATGTGATGTCTACCTTGAGATTGGAAGTTAATTCTACGAGCGATAGTTTATTTCTGGACACTCGCCAGAGAGTATCAGTGTAGAAAACTCACCTTCGCTTTTACTTGTAAACACCTAACTTCGCCTGAATAGGACCGAAAAAAATAGTTATTTAAAGTATATGTAATAGTTATTTAAACGACAAGTATAATAAAGAATAACCTTCAACTAGTCAATAGTCACAAAGACCGTAATCAGGCAAATATAGACCACTTTATCACAATTGTATTCGTCAGTTCTTGCTTCTGTTCGTGCAAAGAAACAGTTTACGTTATAAATATTCCGTTCACAATATTTCGTAAGTATTATTCTAGTAAAATATAATTAAAGTGTCTCGTAACTCGTCGAAAGTTTAAATATTGATATCCGTTCAATTTTCATGATTTCTCTTTACAAAATATAATCAATGTTATAACAAAATAATAATTATTATATTCTCTCTATCCTAAGAAGGGAAACCAAATTTCTCTTTCTGTGTAAATTTATTTCAAACATAAAATATTCTAAAAATAAGAGATATATTTTATATATATTTTTCGTGTGTATATGAGTTTTATAATAAATTTATAATAACTTTATAATAAATTTTATTATAAATAGTCATCAAATATTTTATTTTAATCTAAAATGTCATCAAATATTTTATTTTAATCTAAAATGTTTTATTACATTAATCAATACTTTGAAAAATATTTATAATTAATAAATAACTCATTAATATAGTACACACTAATATAGTATCTCATTAATATAGTGCACATATTTACACAATAATGTTCTTTTTGTCTGACCAACATATACGTATATATTTACGATATCTTTTTTTTCTGATCATCAATTCAATTTTGCGTGATATATTATAGAGCTTAAAATGTCGAGAAATCTTTTATATCGAATATATAATTAAACTATAAATAGAAATTTCAAAAAAAAGGTAAAGTTCATCGACAAATAAAAATTTGACAAATATGTGTCTGAAAGATAATAATTATAGACATTTAAAGTTATTTTAGAGAACTTTTAATAACATATATATATTAAGAGAGATTTATAAATTACTAACTAAATATCAAAAAAACATTAAAAGTTTCGAGATGTATGTACTCTTTTTATACATTTTAATATATCGTTTAATGATTTCTTTATCACAGTTTCTAAAAAAAAAAGTTTGTATATCTTCAATTAATCATATATCCAAGAGATATATCTGTATAAGAAATTTATTAATTTTTCAGTGTACCATGATTACAACACACAAGAGTATACGTATTCTGGCAAATATATTACGGCTTCTTCTACAAATTCTTTATTATATCTATGAAAGCACGTATAACAGCTTATTTAAATTACAGGAGAAGAGCGTGGCTGGCGAAATTGTTTTGGTACGTACAAAATGTGTAATGCAGATATATTAAAACTTTGCATAATCAAAGATAAATAATAATTTTAAAAAACTTGAAATTGATGAAGACAGTGCAAAAATATTGTAGTATCAATATATTGATTTATCTATTTCTTTATTTTAACAAACATATAATTAATTGCTAAGAACATTTCATATGTTATTTTTGTTATATGCATGTGTATGTGTGTGTATGCAACTATAAGAAATGAAAAAAAATTAATTTTCAACCATTTTCATTATATTTCGCTAAAGATGAAAATAATAAATAGTTCTCAAGCTATTTAAAAATGAATTCTCTCATATAATTTTGCTTCTAATCGAATTCTATGCATTAATAATAAATAAATATTCTTAAAAGTTTTTGATATTACATTATACAATATAAATTGAAAAAAAGGGAATTTTATTGTGTATAATTAATATCGTTTCTTTATTATATATTATATTGCAACAGATAACAGGTGCAGGTCATGGTATAGGAAAAGAGTTGGCGGCTCAATATGCGAGTTTAGGAGCAACAGTTGTGTGTTTAGATATAAATCAGCAATTAAACGAAAAGACGGCAAATGAGATCAAGAAAATCGAGAAAAGTCCAATATATACATATCAGTATGTTTCTTATATAATAACATTATTTGTTTCTATATTGCAGAAACAATGACTTTGTTGTATAACAAATATTCTAATTATTAACATGTCATTAGGCGGTGCAAAATATAATATATATAGTAATTGTATGATCAATATAATTAAACTCTAGTCTCTCTACAGATGTGACGTATCCAATAGAGAACAAGTTCTTGAAGTAGCTAAAAAAGTGAAGGAAGAAATCGGTGATGTCACTGTTTTAATTAATAATGCCGGTATAATGCCTTGTCACACATTCCTGAGTTACACAAGCGACCAAATCAAGCGACTTTTTGATATTAATATACTAGCACATATTTGGGTAAGAATTAAAATTATAAACCGTGAATATTAATTAGTTTTTTGTTTTCAAAAGTACATTATTTTCACTCTACATTTTCATGTTTCCTGATATAATATAAATATGATTATAGAACTCAGGAATTGTATTATGACAATTTTATTGACATAAAATTTAATTCAATCGTTTATATTAAAAAAATATATATAGAGTGGACATTATATATATATATATATATATATATATATTTTTTTTTTTTATTTTACACATACACACACACATATATATATGTATTATATCGTTGTGAATTAATATTCAATTATTTTCAGATGTTACAAGCATTTTTACCAAGCATGATTGAAAAAAATCATGGTCATATCGTTGCACTCTCGTCGATAACAGGACTTGTAGGAATTCCTTATTTAGTGCCTTATAGCGCTACAAAACATGCAGTCAAAGGTAAATTTGTTATGATTTACCTAAACATTGCAATTATTTTTTTTGTCTTTAATAATTTTCTTGAAATAACTAGTTCAATTTGAAAAATATTGCTTAGCGTTGCTTGTCATTAAGCATTTTTATTTTTTAGGTTTTATGGAAGCGCTTAAAGACGAGTTACGAGTATGTACTCAAGGAAAATCTTTAATCAAATTCTCTACCATTTACCCTTATATGGTAGATACGGGACTTTGTAAAAAACCAAAAATAAATCAATTGTAAGTTAAGACGAAATTAATACAATAAATAAGCATAAGCAATCTCAAATATAAAAAAATTTACTTATTTCAAAATACATAATAAATATTTATTTCATTTTTTAAAGGTTTTCAAATTTTCTGTCATTAAGTACGCCAAAATATGTAGCTGCACAAATAATTAATGCTCAACGGCGAAACATTTGTGAAGTAACTATCCCATCATTCTGGTCATTACTTCTTCCAGTTGTTAGGTAATTAAGATGCAATATTTATAGTGATAAATTTGTAAATCTATAAAAAACATGCAAAAACGTAAATTGTGCAATATAATTTAATATATCATTTTCTCAAAAATCGACAATCATATCAAATTTTATGAAAATAAAAATTAATTTTTATTATGTGACATATATAGCAAAAATGTATACAGGGTGTCCCATTTTAATTGTCCCAGGCAAATATCTTGAAAAATATGAAAGACACGGAAAAATGTTTCAAACAAAAGTTGTTTGGTTTAAAGGGGGATAGATGATGAATATATGTACTTGACCTAGAGTAACCTATTGAAGGTCAGGTCCACGTCATCGATGTTTTTTTAAATGGAACCCGTTATTTTTTATTATATACTCTTGCAGCTCATATTGAGAGCTTTCAAAAACACTATAATAAAGTATTTTTTTAATTCATTTGACCTTAACCTAATCTTCAATAGGTCATTCTAGATCAAGTACATATATTCATCATCTGTCTCCCTTTAAACCAAACAACTTTTGTTTGAAACATTTTTCCGTGTCTTTCATATTTTTCGAGATATTTGCCTGGGACAATTAAAATAGGACACATTGTATATTACGTAAATATAATTAATTATAAATAATATAAACTCGTATTTTGCAATTCCATATTATATTTTATTTTTGATATATTAAAATAGCATTTATGTATATTTAATACACTTTTTTCAGAATTTTACCTGCGAAAGCACAAGACAATGTAAGAGATTTTTTGGACAGTGGTGTCGAACCAGAGAGTTAATCAATATGAAAATTGTTCAATTTATTAAATTTTCGAAAATTTATAAACGAATCAAATCAAAAGTTATACATAATACAATTATATCAATTTTTTGATACATTACTGTATTGTATTTCAATGTATTTTATTCTACTTTATTATACTTTTTATTTTATTATATTGCATTTATTGTATATATGCAATTTAATTATTGTATTTTATATTTCTATCTCCTACTTATTATTATTATAACGTGTATGTTATATTCCATTATTTATAAAATAAACGTTATATTCAACAGATAAAATAATAAATATAATTATTTTAACAGATAATAAATATAAACTATTAAAATAAAAATAATATATATATATATATATATATATATATATATATATATAGAGAGAGAGAGAGAGAGAGAGAGAGAGAATTCCAAAAACTGAAATTTTTATTTCTGCAGTGTATATGTATGTGAAGAGAAAAAGAGAAATAATATACAAATTAAGAGATTAAAAATCCTATATCATAAAAAATTAATAGAAATTTGCTCTTAAATATTTTAGATGAACATAAGAATTACCATTTACACTATTTATAAAGTTATAGTTTCATGGCAAAGCACATATGAAATATATATATATATATATATTGCACAAAATTTATACTAATATATGTAAAAAAAGCTATAGTTAATTTCAAAATAATATTTATAAACCATTATTTATATAAACAGATATATGCATATCAATTATATTTAAAATTCGGACTTGATTATATATAAATATATAAAATTATATTATATGTATCTAAATCCATGATACATAAATAAATATACAATATATATAAAAATATCTTTTTGCTAATATATTGAAAAATTGAGTTATAAGATATGATTAAAAATTTTATCGAGACAATCGTAACCTCTTGAACCGACTTTTGCACCAGCAATACGGCATGCAAGTTTGATAGCCCTTTGTAAAACTATTTCATCAATAAATTTTATTCGACTATATTCCAAATTCTTTATATCAAAATTTTTTTGTTTAATATCTTGTTTACTTATTGTACTGTCATCACACAACTTATTATCATTTGCATAAACTGCTTCTTTACATTTATATATAAATTTTACTTTGCTCTTGTTTAAGTAATATAGAACAGCTGCGTTAAATGTATCACCTGCTCCTAAAGTATCGATCACTTTGTGTGGCGGGAAAGCTGAAGATTGTACTATCGCACCACATGGAGTACGAGCAATTGCACCTTCCTCTGCCCAAGCACAAATAATAGCACCTCTAGAAAAATATTTATCTCTTAACAATATCATATTTCATATATAAATATTAAAAGTGGTTTTTATATGTATTTCTTACCTAAGCTTAGCATCTTGGCCAATAGTATGTATTACTTCCTTCATATTATTAAAACCTTGATTCTTAGCAAAATCTTTTGCTATAAATACTACATCAATATATGATAACAAATTCAATAATCTAAGACTTGATCTGGGATTTTCCAATTCCACGCTAATTGTAATGGGCATACATTTCTTACTGCAATCATGTGTGCCATTTAATGACTTGTTATAATTTTCTATATGTTTTATCATAAGTAACATTTCATCTATATTTCTTCCCTAATAATATAAAATGTTTTAATTACATTGCTATATAAAAATTTATTATCTATATTATAAAGCATACTTCAAAGTGAACCCAGCTATACTCTGCTAAATTTAATTGTTCAAAGTTCTTTATTGTCAATTCTGGTAAATTTTGATTGTGATATATAATTGTACGAGTCCCAGTATTTAAACTCAATATAATAGTTGAGATAGGACAGCCAATTCCTTTTATGATAGGACAATGAGAATAATCAATTTTATATTTGTATAGATCATCTTGCATAAAATTAACATGTTCATCTGCGCTTAAACAAGCTAAAAGCTCACATGACTGTCCTAACAATGATAGTACAGTACAAGTGTTTGATGCATTGCCCCCTCTTTGCCACCTACAATCGATAGATCTGAAAATTATATTTATAATAAGAAATAAAAAGAATGAAATAATTAATTATAAAAATAATAAGAAAATGTTTAAATCAGAAATTAAAAGACTATAACAGTTTTATATAAATATAAATATAATAAACATAACTAGAAATTAAGAAATTATAAAAAATAAAATTTCCATAAAATTTCCTTCCATAAAAATAGATGTTGCTAATTTATATAAAATAAAAAACTTGAAAAAATACTTGTTATTCAGAAGAAAAATATTCTCACAAAGATCAAAGTTTAACAAAACATTATCTCACATATTTGATATTGTAAACAAATTTGTCATTGTTATTTTTTCAACATTATCTTTTTCAAAATGAAAAATCCATGCAAATTTTTCCAGATTCTTTCTCATTATTCTCATTATTCTCATTGTCAATAATATGCGCATCGTTCTTAAGTGAAAAAACAATATTATATTGAGGAGAAACATACGTAATGTGTTTTTCGAGAATGTTGCTTTATCGAGAGATACTTTGTTTCACGCTAAATGCTGAAACATACTTATTTTTAAAAAAATTAAAGAAAGAAAAATTATTCGATCGCATGATCTATGTGGAATTTATGCGCAGTCGTATTTTACAACTCACGCGAAAGTGTACCAATGACATTTCGCACGCTTGCACGGCAAACTCATTTGAATTGGGCGCGAACGAAATTAATCACACACACATACACACATACACACACACACACCCACACATGCACGAACCTTTGTGTAGAATCCTCCGCAGGAAACTGCTCACACATTTGAACAATATCGAGGCAAATGCGCCCCACGCATAAGATCTTCGACACATCGGATTTCGTTGGCGAGAAATCGTCGTCGATGACCTCATTTTCACGAAAGCCAGTTTCCGGATTCGATGTCATGTCAACGTTTTATTTAACACACGAAACACGCGTTTCTTTTCTACGGACACCAATCCAGTTTAACGCTTCATCCAGCACATGAATGTTGCAACTGCAGCAACATCAGGTCATATCAGATTATGAGGCCACGTTCACGCATCACATCGCCTTTGAACTTTGAAGTTGTCTGATAAACGGGCATAAATGTTTATCCATTATTAGAGCCTATTCATATAAATCGTGCCTCAAGTCTATGAACGAGAAAATCAACCAATCGCACATCTGAAATAAAAAAATAATTATTGCATTTTATAAATAATATATATATTTTTTCTATTTAGTATCATTTATTATTATAAATTATTATTATCAATTATATTTATATATATTATAACATTTATTATCATAAATAAATAAATATATATATATATATATTTATTTATTTATTTATACTTCTAAGATTTACGGAATTACCGATAATTTAAACAATCTTCTTCACGTATGTAATAATAACAAAAATGTAAATAATGTATTATCACATATGACAATACGTCATTCAAATTTTTGCGCCAGAGGAAGAGAAGGAGAATCGTCATGAAGGTCGTGAACGTGATCAAAATGCTAAGATGGCGACGAGATCGAGCTGTTAGCGTATCGCACAATAGCTTGTTAAAAATTATCTCCAAACTTACGATACCGCGACGGGTATTTGCGTTGCATTATACGATTGAACGAAAAGGGCTCGTTTATTTGTCGTAACGATTATCCGCGTCGTCACGTCAAACGCACTTATGCGACACACGTGGCCCGAGAAACTCGCGCCCGTTGGCGCATAATTCCGTGTTAGAGAAAATCCGCGATTCGTTGCCGCTTGTTTGTATGTAAATAACGATGGATCCACGTTTGCATAGAAGATCCGACCCGGAAAAGGAATCGGGCGATTTGGTTAGTGACGACTTGTTCATCACGAAACTTCGCGTCTCGCTATCCGCACGAATTAGTCTCGGCGAAATGACAATCTCCTTCGATAATGCGTTTCTCGCGTTATGCATTCGCATAATCGAGAAAAAGTACAAAGAGCCGTTATTGCGCTCTTGGTAAAATTATATGCTCTTGATGGCAAACCTTGTATAAAGATTATGTACAAAATTGAAGTTCACGTTTTCATACGTGTAGCTTTGGTTCTGCCACTTGCAAATTTTAATGACAGATTACTGCTAATATTGCGAATGCATAATGCTCTATAAAAACAACAATATTTTTCATTAATTTAATGGCAACTTTATAATATTCTATGTGAAAGAGAAAAGAGATTATTGTTAATATTGTTTAAATTAATTTCTTTTTAAACAATGTTTAGAAATGTTGCAAAAATAATTTGTCATATACAAGTAATATTACATAATTATACTAATATGTGGGATTATTTTTTTTTTTATATTCAAATCTAATAATTTTAAAAATATATATTTTATTGCATGCGCAGATTGTTGAATGGATAAATGAGGCTTCTATGAGCCTCGCTGAAGACATTAAGGTTGCCAATATTTGTAAGATACAAGAGTTTTTATTGAATAAAGAACCACATTTACTAGAACTTTATTTGGATGATGTTCTTCAATTTGCAATAAATAGAAGTGCCGAAGTCAGGAAAACTATTACAGGATTCATCGAAGAAGCTGGGTTAATATTATTAAATTCATTTATTATCATGCACGATAGTTGTAATATTTTTTCATATATTTTACACTTTATAATATTTATAATTTATAATACTTTTTTAGCATAAAACAACCAGAGGTAATCCCTCGTGTAGTTCAGATACTTCTTACGTTAGCATCAGATGAAACATCGGCTGTGGCTAAACGTGCGCTTAGAGCCAGTGGTAGAATTCTTAGAGCTGCTCTTAAATGGATTGCTAGTGCTACTATTGTTACGCCAGAGATGGAATTGGCATGGACTCAATTAAGTGCTCTCAAAGTTCAAATCATAAATATGATTGACAGTGATAATGATGGGTGAGTAAAATAAAAATAATCATGAAGATAATTTTCATCGCTAGCCATAAACATACACACACACACACACACACACACACACACACACACACACACACACACCACACACACACACACATATATATAGAGAGAGAGAGAAAGATAATATTGTTAAAATGTCTTAAATTTTTTTTTTATAGAATAAGAACACAAGCTGTGAAGTTTCTTGAGGGTGTAATCCTAATACAGACATATCCAGATCCCGATTGCCCAAAGAAACCTGATGACTTTTCTCTCGAAGATATTCCTCTAACATTAAAAATAGCTCGTAGGCGGAAATTAGAAGAAGAAGCAAATCATGTTATGGATTTATTAATTAAATTTCATGGATCTCCACATGTTAGTAGCGTCAATTTAATGACATGTATGGGATCTTTGGCATTAATTGCCAAAATGAGGCCACAATTTATGCCAAATGTAATTCAAGGTATATTTTTATATACATTATATATATGTTACTTTTTAGTACATTTTTGCATAAAATTTAATAATTATAATGTAATTAATTATGTAATAATTAATTATAATGTAATACACAGCTTTACAGAGATTGCAACATGATCTTCCACCAACACTCTCTGATTCTCAAGTAACTAGTGTGCAAAAACAATTGAAACTTACACTTCTCGGATTAATAAAACATCCTGCTAGTATAGAATATGCTTCAGCTATAGCTAAACAATTAGCTCAACTTGGAGCAAAAGAGCAGGAAATTATTAAGGCCTATCCAAAACCAGAAGATGTTCGTCGTATAAAAAAACGTCAACAGGTATATGAGATTTCATCTAAGGAACATATTTTTTTATTGTATTTATGTAATTCTTAAGAATTTTTTTGTTACATATAGGAAGTAGCAGCTGCTAGTGCTGCTAAGCGAGCAAAGATTGATATAGCTCTAATATCCGAGGATGTAGAAGCGACGTCAAGTCTTCTTCCTACTTTTAAATTACCAGAATTAATTGAACTTTCTGAAAGTTTTATTGCCGAAAGGCTCAGTGTAGAAATTGCAACAGATTTAGTAATGGATAGTATGGTATGTATTACAAATTACATATGAATTCTATTCATATGGAAAACCTAATAAAACGTATCCTATTCTATTGAACTGCGTTTGATAGGCATGGGTACCAGATACTATGACAACAATTTTCCAAAGAGAATATCAACCTACTGCGACTACTGATATTAATATACAACGCCAAACAATTGCTAAACTTTTAGCAGCGCAAATCAAACAAACTAAAGCGAAAAAGCACAAAAAAGATACAAAAGAGGAAGATGCTGTAATGGAAGATTTAATTAAGAATCCTACCATTAGCGTAGCTGAGGCAAAGCGTGAGCGTAAACGCGAAAAAGATCGCGAGAAAGAAAAAGAAGCAAAAGCATCATTGGAAGCTCATGAAAAATCCCTTGCAAAAGCTAGAAATCGTTTAAAGGCATTAAAATTAACTGAAGTGACAAAGCCACTTTCAAAGGAAACTAAAGAGCGAATGTTACTCATGGCAGTCAATCGAATATTACTTTCGGAAAAGACTGCAGTTCTCGGTGGTGTAGCCGCTATAAGGTAATAACAAAATATAGATTCATATAATGATAATACAGATTCTTATGTATAATACATATCTTATTTATCTTTAATAATTCATTTCTTTCTACTATATGTTATAGATCTAAAATTTTGACTACTCTGGCAGCTACTTTTAATCCTTATATTAAGGAAGCTATAAGGCGATATATTATCGATGATATGCGAAACCGATTGGACTTAGCATTAGGTTGGCTATATGAAGAGTATGCACTGTTTCAGGGATTTCAAAGACGGACTACATTATGTACAAAACCACAAGAAGCTCCACATCAAGCATATAATTTTTTACTATGCACCTTAGTATCAGCTATCGATTCAGTACAGGGTAAAGACCGCGATACATTGTTATCCAGGTAATATTAAATTTTTTATCTCATATATATATATATATATATATATATATATATATATATATATATAGAAGTGTGAAAATCTGTGAGAAAAAGAAATGTAGATATATCAGTATCTTTATCAATCTATACTTATATCAATTTTTAAATTTAAAAAAGAGATACCAAGCGGATTACAAATTACGATTTTTTTAACATAAAAGTAGCTATAACTCGGAAACGATTTATTTTCGGATTTATATTATATAGCTTTTTTCCCTTCTTTTCTTCTTCGGATCCCGAATCACCTCCTGAAATATGCGAACGATTTTCCGGACATCCTGTATATAAATATATTTTTTTTGTTAACAAAAGGTTATATTTGGAGGCACCACTAATAACTGAAGATGCTGTAGAGGCATTAAAAATGGTGTCGTCTGACGAAACTAGAGGTCTTGCACCATTGCAGCTTCTGAAAGAAATGGTAGTGCGTAGACCCACGAAACAATTGATATTTTTAAATGTCTTATTATGCCATACTGGACATGAGAATAATACAGTAAGATTCTTAATCAAATTTTATGATACTTATATAATATGTAAGAAAAATACTAATAAAATTATATAAAACTTCACATGTTTATATAAATAGATACGGGAAGCTGCAATACAATTAGTCTGTCAGTTGTACAGCAGACCAGAATTAAGTAAACTGATTGAGGAATATGCAGTTCTATATCTAGGCTTTTTACGCCTTCATAATCCACCTGAAATTGTTTTTGGGCCAGATAGAGGCAGACAACAAATTGAAAGCCAATGGACTGAATCAACTACACGCGCTTGTTTAGGTTTATATCTTGCTCTTCTTAGTGAGCATCAAGATCTTATTCATGAGTAAGTGTAATTAAAACACATTTTTTACTATTAAATGGACGTGCGCACACATACATATAGAATATATGTCTGTGAAAAAATGAATATGAATAACTATTATGTATATTCCATAATTATATTTAATAATGATAGATTAGCAAGAGTGTATACATCAATGGCTGCAGATGTGAAACGTATTGTATTAAGACTAGTGGAAGGGCCAGTGAGATCTTTAGGTATGGGTAGCCCACAACTACTCGCACTTGTCGAGAATTGTCCGAAAGGATCTGAAACTTTAGTCACAAGGATTATACATATTCTTACTGAGAAATGTATGTTATTATTATTTATAGATAAAATATATTTTATCTATATAATATTTGCTGATTTTAGTTGTATTTTACATAATGTTGTTTGTATGTGCAGCTGCCCCAAGTACAGAATTGGTAGCCAGGGTACGAGAATTATATCAAACTAGAGTCTCTGATGTTAGATTTTTAATACCTGTTTTAAATGGACTTACAAAAAAAGAAGTGATTGCTGCACTTCCAAAATTGATAAAATTAAATCCTATTGTCGTAAAAGAGGTAAATAATTTCTTTGAATTATTATTTTATTTATTATCTTAAGCTTCACTTCTAAGGAGTATCATACTAATGAATATATTTATATTTTTTAAAGGTATTTAATAGATTACTTGGAACACATAACAATGATAGCGGTGTACCTCACACATCGCCTATTACACCTGCAGAATTGTTAATAGCTTTACATAATATAGATCCAAGTAAGGCTGAATTAAAAACTGTTATCAAAGGTAAATCATTCTATGTATGGCATTTAAGAGAATTATTTTACTTAGGGGAAAATTGCTTTAAATTACTTTATTTAAGGGAAAATTGTGCTTATATAAACTTTAGGAATACATTTCCTTTTGTTTACAGCAACTTCTCTTTGTTTTGCTGAAAAACAAGCATATACGCAAGAAACAGTCGCCGTTGTGATGCAACACCTTATGGAGATGACACCTTTGCCAACACTACTGATGCGCACGGTTATACAGAGTTTGGCCCTTTATCCTAGGCTAAGTGGATTTGTCATGAATATACTTCAGCGTCTGATTTTGAAACAAGTATGGAAACAACCAAAAGTATGGGAGGGTTTTGTCAAATGCTGCGAACGCACGCAACCGCAAAGTTTTGCCGTTATTCTGCAGTTACCGCCGGCACAATTGTTAGAAGCGCTCCGAATGGCCAGCAATTTACGCGCTCCTTTGTTAGCCCATGTTGAGGCTTTTGCTGAGAATCAGGTAATTTTCTTAACATTTTTACAACATTAACATAAAACATTAAACTGAACATTAAAAATGACTGAATTTGCATATAAATAAATATTGAAATAAAATTACAAATACTAAATATGATATTAAATGTAGTGAAGCTTTAACGTGAATAATATTACACGTTATATACATATATTTTATATTATATCGAAAATCTAGTAAAAAAAGAAGAATATTTAATTAAGATATAATATTTTCATTTTTTTTTCTAGAAAGCACACATTCCACAATCGATAATGGATGTCATACAGGGTAAAATACCCTGTGACATGCACGATGAGTTTGATATTGTGAGTAAAGATGCCTGTATATAAAGGAACAGTTTTTTAAGCCCTCTCTTTATAATATAATTCTTTAAAATAAACACGATACTGGGGAGACCCAAAAATATCTCCTCCATCAATTTCTTTCAGACGCAACCTGATGATTATTCGAATGATCAAAAACCAGATACAATGGAACTTGATCTTTCGGAACCAGCTCCTCCCGGTTTAGATTAGCATAAAATCATTCCAGTATTAGAATCAGAAGCATCGTCTACCGTATATCCTAATAACGAATCCGCACTGTAATCCTTACAGTAAATTATTTTTTATTTTATTTTATTTTTTGCATTGTTGTAAATTCCGTGTATTACAGTTACATATTGCATTGACAAGATCCCTATTTATAGTCTCATTTGATATAGTACAATTTTGAATTTGAAACTTTATTTAATTAATATTTAGCACTGAATGTGCGATTGCAGAAAAAATAAAATCATAAACATAAACATTTTTTAAGATAAAATAATAAGACAACAGCACAATTTGAGCGATTATTTGATATTGTTTTCTTGACTTTTCATTCGATATTATACATATTAATTTTAAATCATTATTTGATCATCTATATATTCATTTAAGTATTTAATGTCATAGATGCTATCTTCTCTCTTCTCATTTAAATAATCCTGATATATTTGAAAAAAATATCCATTTTTTTAAATTTTTAGAAATTTTTTTATATTTGTGATGAATGTTTTGATAAATGTTTTGATTTGCATTACGCTAATGTGATAGAATACGAATGCTACCTTTCTTTCTGTAACTCTTCTTATATATAAATAATACTATCAATTTATATATATATATATATATATTAATATTATCTTTGATATATTTGCAAAAGTATATCAATTTTTTAAAAATCTCTAAAAATTTTTTTATATTTGTGATGAATGTCTTGACAAATGTCTTGATTTACATTATACTATAATTTTTACAAATGTATGGAGAAAGAAATATCAGTGTTTGTGTAAGTTAGTTATAATATATCTAAGATATATTTAATACAATGATATATCTAAGATATATTTCATACAAATACACATGAAGCTTTGAGGAAATAGGTAACTAGGTAATTAACAAAATCTTCAATTGATAATTTTCACCTCAGATTTTGATTTTCTAAAATTAAAAACTTGCGAGTGATCATTTCTTGATTACTTGCTTGCTCGCTCGTGTTCACTGCAACTTAAACAATCACCCTTTTGCAGTGATATAAATCTGTTTCAAAATTACTCTTCTTTATTGCAATTATTACAAAAATAATATTTTATTGCAATATAAAAAAAATATACAATATGTATATTAGTTTGAACAATTAGTTTGTCGTATATTGCTGTATTGCTTATGCATAAGAATTATATTAATTGCAAATTAGTTTAGATACATTGCACATATATGTATATATGTATATGTTAGAAGTTATATAAAACATGTGTGTGCTTAAATATGTGTTCAAAAAATTTAATAAACGTAAAATATATAAATATATATAATTTAATCATAGAATTTGACATCACAGAATTTTATGAAAATAAATAATTGGTACACAACTTTTTTCATAACAACATATAGAGTTCGTATTGTGTGTAAAAACAATAATAAAGTTTTTTTATTATTTATGTAGAAAAAATTCTCATTTGTTTTATAAATATTTTTCTTTTTAAAGAGTAAATAAATATAATATACATACAATATTCTGCATACAAAACACATACAATATACATACAGTTTTAAATAAATGTTCAAAAAGATTCGATAAAAAAAATAGAAATTTTTTAAAATGATATCTAGTATGAATTTTAAAATAACAAGATAAAGAGAGGATTCTACCATTATTTCCTGGAAATACTTATTTGTAATTTGTATTTGCATATATACATTAAGCATATATATATCTTATGTCAATGTATTTATGCAAATAAAATATATACAGAACATTGCATCAGTGTAACATCATCAATGTTTCTAACAAATTAACATAAAAATTGCTTTTGTAAGAATTCTGAATAGAAAAAGTTATTAAAAATAATTTTCTAATCTTATATTTAAAAGATAACGGAATTGTGAGTATACAAAGGTATATATCTGCGAACGAGTAAGCAAAAGATAGTAAGAGAAACACGAGCAAAATGTTTGCGTGCAGCAGCTCTACACAATTCTTTTATCGGTCGCATCATAAGAAAAATAAATCGACTATCTCACGAGATTTAAACTTTGTATTTGAGGAACTTTAGATGTCTATACAATAGATTATACCTGATATTTCTGTCTTTTTATGATATGTTATAAATTCTTGACTTATATGCAAGAGAAAAAAGCAGTTATTGTATCATATTTTTGATAAGATTTGTGCTTGATACATTTGATATATATTTAATGTCAATTTACATTTTGATATTTTTAATTTGCAAAATTTCATAGCTACATATTCATGACTGTGATAATGTCGATAAATAGCCAAAATGGTCTGCTACTTTAAAAAAATAGAAATATAAATTCTTACGTAGATAGAAAAAGAAGAAGAAAGAAGAGATCTTTTCATTTTAGTTGCTCTCTTTTTTTTCTTTTATTTTTCTTTCTTTAACAATTTAAATCTATATTTATCATAGGAAATGTGAAAATGCTTATAAAACAAATTGATTCATATTTTGATATCAAATATTTGTCAAACAAGATAAAATTTACTACAAATCTTTAATTTAGACTTCCAACAATTTCTTTAATACAAAATGCAACAATTCTCTAATTTAAACGAATAGTAACGAATAGTATTAATATTTATAATAGAATAGAATTAATAAATATATATAAGTAATTATAATAAAAATTTAGAATATTATATATATAAATTATATATATATATATTATATATATAATATAATATAATATAATATCATGATAATTAAGTAATCGAGCACTAAGAGCCTACAAAAAATTTTTTACACAGATTAATAAAAACGTACAGGAGAAGTGTCGGTGTGGGGCTGAATAGCTCAGTGGTAAGAGCAGTCGCCCGGCAAGCGAAAGACTCGGATTCGATTCCCGATTCAGCGACTTCGCCCCGATATTTTTCCTGTCTATATCTCTCCAGGGGGATAAAGGGGGTGTTATAGAAGTCTCAAACCAAGAGAATCTATAACTTGGCATATGTATGTCTTTATAAAAAAAAAAAAAAAAAATCGCGAACAATTAATGTTCGAAATAATTTACGCATTGCCATCCGCGTTTTGTAGGCTCTTAGTGCTCGATTACTTAATTATCATGTTGTTAAATACATAGAGCCGAATTATTTACCAATTTATTTATAATATAATATAATATAATATAATATAAATATATATAAATATTAGGTTGAAAATATTTGTGATATAAGGCAATATTATCGGGGAACAATTAACACTTCGTAAGGTTTTGGTGCAATTATCAATCCACTGGTAAACTCTGCCTTAATGGATTTTTCACCCGGTACTGGAAGTAAACGATACTTTTGCATTATGCTGATAAATAACAGGAACAAAGCATTTTTTGCAAATGCTTCAGCGGGACATCTTCTTTTTCCTAATAAAAAAAGAATTTATATATATATATATATATATATATATATATATATATATATATTTATATGTATTTAATGGTCGAAATAACGATACATCAAATTTGTCCATGTGACCATAATAACTATATTGTAGATATTTACTATGCAAATGATTTCACACAAACATTAATTAAGAGAATATTTTCTTTTCAAAAAGACATGATTTTCTTTTGCATGAAACAATCAGTAAACAAAATAGAATTATCATAATTACATAATTGGTAAATCTTATAAAATATGTTACAACAATATTTAATTTTTTTGTTATAATTATTACTTTTCCATAAATGATAATTTACCTTTTCCAAATAATATGATATTTTCGTCCATTCGATAAGTACCATCTTCCTTTAAATGCCTTTCAGGCTTAAATGAAGTCGGATCAGGAAATAATTCTGGATTCATATTATTGTGAAAAACATTCATTAACACGGTGGTATTCTTTGGTATTGTGTAACCTCCAAGGATTGTGTCATGAAGAACACGTCGTGGGCCAATTACAGGTGTAACGAGCCACATACGTTGAGCCTCGACAAGTACAGCCTTCGTAAAAGGCATTCTGTAATTTGAAATTAAATAAGTATTTTTTCATGAATAATGAAAAATATATGAGAAATATAAGAGTTACAAAAAAATATTTGAAACATTTTTGAAAAAAATGTATTCGACATTTATATAAAAATATATTAAAATATGTAAAATCATTACTTTATTCCATCTTCCAAAATAGGATATCTATTAGGACCGATTACAACGTCGATCTCCTCGTGCACTTTGCGTTGTACGTCCTGGTGATTGACTATTTGCAAAAAGAGAAACTCCAATGTTGCCGTTGTAGTCTTTATTCCACCGAAGAAAAGATCCAGCAATGTTACAATGAGATTATCATCTTAAACCATAAAAGATCGCATGTTCCAAAAATAACATAACACATTTATCTTATTAGTTCACAATTTTGTCAGATAAAAATAATATTTAGTATCGCTATTTTGTCGTGATAGTGATAAACATATTTCTAGCTGATAACGAAAGTTGACAGCCTTTTTAAGATAAAATCCTTAAATCATCTGCAAAAAGCATTAGTCAAGTTTTTTATCGATAAAAAACTTGACCAATGCTTTTTGCAGATGATTTAAGGATTTTATCTTAAAAAGGCTGTCAACTTTCGTTATCAGCTAGAAATATGTTTATCACTATCACGACAAAATAGCGATGCTAAATATTATTTTATATTTAATTTCATAGAATACTAAATATTAAATATTACTATTAATTGTCATGTTTCTCTTTCTATGAGCTTGATAAGCGTCCGCGAATCGGAATATGATTACAATTTTTATCGATAAAAAACTTGACCTTTTATCGAAAAACTTGACTTTTGTATAAAAGTTTTTATCGATAAAAGGTCAAGTTTTTTATCGATAAAAATTGTAATCATATTCCGATTCGCGGACGCTTATCAAACTCATAGAAAGAGAAACATGACAATTAATAGTAATATTTAATATTTAGTATTCTATGAAATTAAATATAAAATAATATTACAATAATACTATATTGATAATAGTCCAAAATTAAATAAAATAACAACAAATATTAAAACAAGATTTTCGTAATCTCTGTCTTCGATTTCTCGCATTTAAATTAATCGCATTAAATATCTCGCATTTAAAGTAATTGTACAATCATAAAGCAATATAAGCTCGTATATTTCAATGGTATAAATTAAAATGGGCCTATACTGCAAAAAAAATATCGTTTAGACTACAATTAATTTTAGAGTATGATGCAATAATATATTTGAAGTTTTTATATAATTGTGAAAAAGATGAGATTGTTGCATTACCTCTCTACATGTCATTAATAGTAAACAATTTGACTCATACCTGAAAACACGTCCTTGTACTGTTGTGCGAACATCTCGTGGAGAAACGCATCGATAAAATCTTTTTCTTTTCCTTCGACATACTTTTGTTTATGTTCATTAATAGTTTCCTAAATATTGGAGACAATTGCAATACATAAGTTGTAAATAATCATTTTGTTCAAACGAAAGCAAACACAATATTGAGAGCCATTAAAATTATGTACCATTAACAAGTTCTTAAGTTCATTGTTTAATGTGACAAGGATTTTATATCCTGAGATTTCAGGAACGATGAAACGTAGCCAAGGGAAACTGGATAAAATCCCACCAGACATATCAAACTTCTGCGAGCGACGAGTCATCAAGTCTAACAAAATTTGTAATCTGCAAGCAGTCATAGAACCGATGAAACGATAAACGATTATAGATCGACATATAATCGAATCATCATATTCTTTATTTTCAGAGACTTATCATGTTTTTAATATAATTGTTTCTTACGCATTCTCTTGCTGCACGATCATGATCACGCAAATATAAAGTATATTACTAAATTAATTAACGCAAAAGGAGAAATAGTAAAGAACAGAAAATAAAGTGTAAAAAATTGATTATAATTTTGAATTCAAACGTTCTGAAAATAAATTCGTAGTAGTTACTAACTAAAATATCTCGAGGAACGTCGTATGCTACACGTACCTTGACTGATCTTCAGAGACTCTTTTTCCTGTGATTAGAGTCCAGAGAACATTTATTACACTAGGTGCGATTACTGTTTGTATATGTTGCACACCACCATCTTTTAGTTTTTCCATGATAAGTACCAGTTCATCCAAAAGAAGTTGCATCATTTCTTGTTTAACGAAACCAATTTTCTTCAGAGTACATATTGACCAAGTACGTAATATATTCCAATCCGAACCATCATTCATTGTGATCCCTATTAGTGATTTTAATGAATCGATAATTTTAATTTTTTTCAATTTATGCAACTAATCATTCTTTAATATAACCAATAAATTTATTTGTTTAAAAATTTAAGAAATTTCTTTTTTAGAAAATGTCATGTATCGTTGAGAATTGAAATGTTTTATTTTTATTTCTTTATTTCTTGAGAAATTAAATTTAAGAATTTTATTTTGCGTTTTACGCGATTTGTGAAAAAATGTCAAAAATGTACTAATGTACGTTTTTAAAAAATTTAAATTCAAATGTTTGGAAAAAATATAAAAATATTAAAAATTGGCTATATAACAAGAACAAATATGTATGAATTATTTATTTATAAATTATAAATTAGATAAGAAAAACTTCATTTTATATTTTCAAATAAAATAGCAAAAAATAATTATCCTTATGATAATTATCTTTATGATAAAATTGTATATACAATATTTAAGGATCAATTTTTAAATTTTAAACTTTAATATAGCGAGATTTTCAATCAAATTTGTTACCTTTTTTCATTCCCATGTTACGTAACTTTATGAACTCATTCCAAGGACGTCCATCATACTCTCTTTTGTTAAGTATTTCGTGTATGAGTTTACTGTTTGAAACAACAATCGTATCATTGCCACCTAATCGTAAACTAATGATATCGCTATTATATTGCTTGCTGAGTTCCAAAAAGGCTAAGTGTTGTCCGCCAAGTTTTTTTGACAATTTTTTAAGATAATATGTATTCCCAACAAATGGCCACGCAAAGGGACCTAAAAATTTTTGATACAAAGTATAGACATAAAAATTGTCATTGTAAATCTATATTACAAGATATTCTAGTATTATGTAGTGTGTTTTTCTCGCTAGATTAATTTGGAATTATTGAACATAATTCAATATTGCATAATTCAATATTTTTAAACAATTATTTCCAATTTATGTGAGTTTTATGATATTTTATAAGATATTTTCAAATATGACAGGAATTTTTAAAAAAAGAAAAGACATACAAAGGAAAAGATAAAACATATACAAAAATATAAGACGATAACAAAAAATATAAAAAATTTTGTACTGCTATAACAATAATTAAATTCTTGATTGTCATATCGGAAAAAATTATTAAAATAACTACCTACCATTTTCTAAATTTAAGTTTGTTACTTATTTGTTACTTATTGTTTGTTACTTATTATTTTCGTACCATTGTATCCATTTTCTCGTCGATGTACAAGTTATTGTATTTTATATATTTTTTAAATATATTATAAGTTATTATTTTAAGTGTTTACGCTGACTATTGTCGTTGGAAATGGTTATAATTTATCAATTATATTTCTCAAACACAAAAAATAACAATACAAGTAAAAAATAACTCATTATTTTAATATATATGAATATTAAATTAAATAAATTTTACATAAAACATATGGACTTTGTCTTTTTTTTTATATATTATTATGAAATGTTGATATTATAACTAATACTATTGTATATAAACATTAAAATAGTTTATACAAAAATTAAGAAATCTAAAAAAAATTAAGTTTTTTGTACAGAAAACAAAAAAGAATTATTTAAAAGAATTATAAAAATTGCTTGATAATATAAGGTGTTTTTCAGCAAGCAAGATAGAAAACACAGTGTAACACTAAAATAATAAAAACGAAGTGATAGAAGTAATAAAAGTGAAAGAAGTAATAAAAATGATAGAAGTAATAAAAGTGACCTCTGTGTCATTTGCTGTGTCAATAATATCCAAATAAAATATGAAATCATGACTGAATCACGTGTTCTCTATCTTGCTTGCTGAAAAACACCTTATATTATCTTTTATTATCAAGCAATTTTTATAATTCTTTTAAATAATTCTTATTACAAAAAACTTAATTTTTCACGATTAGATTTGCGACAGAGTTCATGTCAAAAAAATTCAGTGTAAACACTTAAAATAACTTCATATACTTAAAAAATATATAATAGAAACAATAACTTTTCGATGAAAAAATGGATATAATATTCTCCGATTCAATATAATGGCGATTAATATATAAATAAAAAGAAACACTACATACATTATTTAATAATTTAAATGATTAAAGAAATTATGTTATAAAGTATAAAGTATAATCTTTACTTTTATTTCTTTAATAAGAGAATATAGTAAATAAAAAATATTTTTATAAATAATTTGATAACCACTATCTATAAATTCGATAATATATAACATAAAATATAAAAGGAGAGTATTTGTTAAGTTTGCAGATTTATTTTGAAGATATTCAGAATAAACTAATGTAATAAATTACATTTCTAAGAAAGATGGGAAGCTCTAACATTTTTTAGTTTAAAAAAAATAATAAAATTTAGTTTAAAGGTTTCAAGGACCAATGTAATGGTGAAAATTTGCAAAAAATAGAACGGTTATTACAATTTAACAAACCATCAGAAAATGTTTATTGAATTTAAAAACGACAAACGCTGCGTTTCGATCCAATTCGGATTCTTTTCAATATCGAATAACAAAGTGAGTAATAAACATAAAAAACGCAAATTAAAATAAAATGTTTTTCGAATCTTATTTATATTATACCAATAACTGTTAATTTTATTTTTATTTTTATTGTTTATTATTCATTTTGTTATTCGACATTGAAAAGGATCCGAATTGGATCGAAACGCGTTTGTCGTTTTTAAATTCAATAAACATTTTCTGATGGTTTATTAAATTGTAATAACCGTTCTATTTTTTGCAAATTTTTACCATTGCGTTGGTCCTTGAAGCTTTTGAACTAAATTTTATTGATTTATCTAACGAACCTTTACTTCATTATAATAATTTTAAAAAAATGTTTTATATTATATATATATAAATCGTTAGGTATATTATATATTATATATTCCTCTAAAACACAATTTATACTTATTAAATAAATAAAATTAAATTGTTTAAAATGTATATAATTTACTTATATAAGTATACCTATATAAGTATATTGCTTTTACTAATTAACTAAGAAAAAGTTTCTTTTTAAATTTTTCAAATTCTATTTTATTAATTGAAGAGAGAGAATAAAATTTCTTATTGTACAAAATATTAAATAATTAAGAATACTGTAAATGTAAATAATTAATTTATATAATTGAGCATTTAAATTGTATAGAATGTGTTATAATTTATTAAAATTAATTCTAATAAAAAATAAATTATTTATTAAAAAAATTAATTACCTGGTGGATAGTTCGATTTCTGTCGTAATATAATGGTAATAAGTAAGATAATTAAAATCGTCGCCGTCAATGTTACTATCATTGTGTCTCGCTGTTAAATTTGTCTCTTTCTTACTCGGAATTGCGTTTCTCAGAATAGATCCTCGTATTCTGTCCACTTTGCTGGAATATAAACCAGTTTTAACAAATTTTTTTCAGCGTTTCTGCAGGTTGACTTGTCAAATCAATCACATCTATCTTTTAATTTAAGGCAGAGAACTTATTATTTAAGTTGTCTTGCTTACAAAACCATGTTACTCAAATAAATACTGACTCGGTCACGTAATTCAATATATAGATCTAGCAATATTTAAACGCGCATGATCAATCGCGCTTGAATAAGAGATCTGTACATACAGATGTGAATCAACTGGCTAGACTGTTGGAGATATATCAATTAATGACAATGGTCCACTTATCAGGAAGTTTCCCTTTAATGAAAGTGAAGCCGACTTCATAACCGATCTTGGTACGAAAATATAAAATTCGTTTATATCAAATGAAAAACTAGTTAGTTTCTTAAGAGAAATTATTATTGATATATATTAAATTAGATTAAAAAATTAATATAAATTATAAATATATCAATTCTTTATCTAATTTTATGAGAAATTTTAAGCGAAAAAAATTATCAGAAGTCTATATAATTACCGATTGCATAATAAATTGATCGGTACATAAATATCAATTATTTGGATTGATCGTATCTAAGGTCCGAATCTAATATGTACAATTAAAGCAAATTAATAGCTGAAATTATGTAGTATGGATTTATTATTATTATTATTATTGAAGCTACATATTTATTATTATTATTACTATTATACATATTATATTCTGGTCTTCGATACGGTCAATTCAAATAATTGGCATTTATGTACCAATGAATTTATTATGCAGTCGATAATCTCCTGCATGATAGAAAGATTAACACAAGCATTAAAACTCACCCTATATATAGAATAATCTGAGGAAAAAAATATGATAGATATATGATATATTATTAAAGTATTTAAAATATAATGTATAATCACTGATAGTTACTTTACAAAATTCTAAATAGTTAAAAATTCTGGGCAGCATCATTTTTCATTCTGATTTCAAGATGCATGATATTCTTATAGTATGGTCTATTTAAAAAAATCTATGAATGTGATTGGTTTTCCAAATACTGTATAAATGAAATTAATGAAATTTCCTATATGAATTTTCAACCATTTGCATAAATGTATATACAAAACTTATATTAATAAAGTCATTGCAAAATAATCTCAAGAAAAACTGGACTTCTATATATTACTAGATTATCAACTAATATAAGGTTTGTTTATTCTTTCTAAACTTTCTGCAAATATTATTTTAATTTTACACAAAACTTAAAAAATAGTTTACGTGGCTTGAGTAGTCAAAGAATGTAATACAAATTGCGAAGATTAAAATTATAAATGGTAAATTGCATTACAGATACAAATATTTTTACAACTGATTCATGGTAAAACGATCTCTTGATTTAATCTTAAATGAGATGACACTAAAAAATGCGCAGGTGACTTGTATGAATACCTGTAACCGCCTATATCCTTCGATAAGCTCTTCTTGATTTCTCCGTCTTCACTCTGGTTAACGATATCCATATCTTCAGATTATGTATCTTAATGAGAAGCTAAACAATTCTAATGTATACTTTGCGAAATACTATATTCACAGCAGTTGAATATATCCTTATTTTTCACGATGACAGCAACAATTTTAATTATTAACAGACTTTCGCTTATGAAAATGCACAAAATACAAGACGTTGCGAAGTATACTTTTTACCTTTTTCATATAGGATCGATATATCTTTCAATTTACCTGAATCCAAAAAAGTGAAAGTACACAAGCGTGCGATGAGTATGAACTGATCACGTGATCACGTGAGTAAATGGTTACAATCATAGATATATAAAATGTATGATCGGAATCTATTCTGCGATGAGGTAATGATGAGGCACCAATAAGGTTTGACCACCAATTATATTGATCTAGGGTAACCAACTGATTGACCAATCAGAGAGTCCTATTTTGAATTGGCCAATTGGCGACGTGGTCAATCGAGTGGTCACCCGTATTGGTTAAAAATAACCAGTTTTAAAGCCCGTATTTAGAGAACCTCTAGGAGAGAGAATGGACAACTGATCAAGCTTTTTCATGATTGGCTGGCAGAAAATGTATCAATTTTAGCTATTGCGACGCCAATGCAAAATATGATGACACACAAATAGGACACACATATATTAACCTATTTGTGTGCATCATATTTTGCATTGGCGTCGCAATAGCTAAAATTGATACATTTTCTGCCAGCCAATCATGAAAAAGCTTGATCACATGTCACATGATCAGTTGTCCATTCTCTCTCCTAGAGGTTCTCTACCCGTATTACATTATAAGTTGGAATTGACCAATCAGAGTAGCCGACTGACAAATTCCTTTGTTTGGTTGCAAAAGTTGAACTCTGATTGCTAGTTACTTGTGTAAATCCACCAATCAGATCCCTTCGTTTCTGGACAACTTAGTTATATTTATTGAGTACAGATGTCATCTATCTACAATGTTTAAATTTAAGATTTAAAATATTCAAATGCGAGGGAAAAGATCGTCAGTTACAGACGAACATATGAGAGATATTTGATTGAATTGAACATATTTTTCACGTTTTAAAATAGCATTGTAAGTAAATAATAACATCATTATGAATTTTGAGTAAATATCGAAAGTACTTGGAAAATTTTCTGTTTTTTGGAAAGAAAATCTACGAAAAAAATGACATAACATTCGTTAATTTATCATAAATTTATATTGAGCAAATATTATATTATTGCATTTATATATACGAGTCTTTTTCTTCATAAATAATATTAAACAAATTAATAGAGAAAGAATAAATAAATAAAATTTATAAATATATTATAAATGTTATAAATAAATCATTTATTTATGTTATAATAATTTATAAATTTATAATTATATCTTTTTTCAGTAATATATAGATATTGTATAATATATTATTCATAATGGGAAGTGGACAGACATTTAAAGTGCCATCAACCATATCTGGATATAAAGAAATTATTCACGACACATGTCGCAAGATGATGGATCACGTTCACAACAGGGGTAGAAAGTATATACATAAAAATATATTTTTGTATTAAAAAAAAATTAATATTATACAAAAATACTTTAATAAATACTTCAGTATGTAATTGATATTAATAGAAAATTTTTTTTTGAGAGTATTAAATTGTCTATAAAATAATACCAAGTTAATAATATCTTTTATTATCAGAAACTTGCCAAGTAATTTTGTATAAGAGAGGAAATTTATATAATACACATAATTATCAGATAAATGACCTTTTAATATTTATAAATAATTTGTTTATATCATTAAATAGCTACCAATGGAGCTTAGGAGATTTTGAAATTGGAGCACCTTTAGGAAGAGGAAAATTTGGTCGTGTGTATCTAGCTAGAGAGAAGACTATGCATTATATGGTTGCCTTAAAAACATTGTATAAAGTTGAATTGGTAAAAGGACGTGTGGAAAAACAAGTAATGCGAGAAATTGAAATACAGACACATTTAAAGTATGTACATTACACACATTTTAAGATATATTTATATAAATATTCATTTATTTGTATATTGTATTACAGACATCCACACATTCTTCAATTATTAACATATTTTCATGATACTAAAAGAATTTATTTAGTTTTGGAATTTGCTGCAAGAGGTGAATTGTATAAAGAGTTAAAACGTCAGCCAGATGGAAGATTTAACGAACACTTGTATATATTTATATTTCTATTTTTATTGCTGTATATATAATTTTTACAAGCTACTTATGCTTTAAATATTTTATCAGATCTGCTAAATATACTTATCAAGTGGCTGATGCTTTGGAATATTGTCACAAAAATGATGTCATTCATAGAGACATAAAACCTGAAAATTTATTGCTTACATATGATGGTGACATAAAACTCGCAGACTTTGGATGGTCTGTACATGCACCATCCTCAAAGTAAGCATAAGATTCACATTTTCATTAGTTTAGTAGTTAACTTTGTGGAACATACTTTGTTATAGTTTCTAAAAGATTATTTATTTAACAATATCAAAAGAGTTGATTTTATTCAAATTTAGAGAGTGAATTTAATATTAACATCTTTTTCAGGCGCTTTACATTATGTGGAACCTTAGATTATCTGCCACCAGAAATGGTGATGGGACAGACCTATGATGTCTATGTCGATCATTGGTGTTTGGGAATTCTCTGTTATGAATTTCTTGCAGGAAAGCCACCTTTTTTAAGTGACACTCAACAAGAAACATACACCAAAATCAAAACCATGTATATACAATGGTCGGACAAAATTAAACCTGGAGCTAAAGACCTGATATCTAAAGTAACATTTATGTTTCATATTTTTATATTGTAATGTATATACAGGGTGTCCCAAAACTCATAATCAATCTTTCAAAGACAGATTCCTGGGATCATCTGAAGACGATTTTTCCTCAACGAAAATGTCGAGGCACTAATAATTTTCGAATTATAAGTGATTGGAAATAAGGGGTTTTTCGTAAACTAAGCTTTGCAGAAATAAAATATTAACAAAACCATATTCTTCGATTAATTTTAAATAGAGTTTACTTTAGTTAAGTTTTAATTTAAGACTTAATTGCAAAGATGTATGATGACAAAAATCGGGAACATGCAAAAAATGATGGCCTTCATCGACATTTTCGCTGAGGAAAAATCTCCAAATGATCCCAGGAATCTGTCTTTGAAAGATTGATTATGTGTTTTGGGACACCCTGTATATAATAAAGACGTATATCTAACTTTTAAATTTATCTTTACAGCTTATATTGTAATGTATATATATATATATAATAAAGATGTATATCTAACTTTTAAATTTATCTTTACAGTTAATCAAGAAAAAAAGTTCAGAGCGAATTTCTATGGCTGAGGTTAAGACACATCCTTGGATTGTAGAGCACAAAGATTTATCTAAACAAACAGCTTAAATTAAAACAGATAAAAGATTCTTCATTCACTGCTAAACATATTTTGTATTTGGTCATTTTTTTTCTTTATAATTAGATACAATATGAAAAATATATTTGTATACTCAAAGAATGAGAAATATCGATAAACATTGACAGATTTGCATGCTCCTTCATAATATATATTTTCGTATAGTATAACATCTAGAACCATGAGTAATTTCTATATATTTTTAATATTTTACAATATAGAGTTTTAAAAATATTCTGGATTTGTGAATACTCATCTATTTAAGTAAAATATTATCATATATAATAAAAATACTTGTGTTACAAATTTTATCAAATTATTTTAATTGAGATTAAGTACTATTTTAATTGAGTTTAATTGAGATTAAATTTTCTCGAAACTGCTACTTTGCCCAAATATTTTGCATATTTATAGTAATTTCAAAGATAACTGCTATCAAAAGTAAATTATTAAGAATTATGTCTACATTATGTCTAAAATTATGTCTAGGCATATGATAGTAATGGTTGATTTGTTTTTTAATCTCTTGCACTTAGATATCATTTTTTATTGTTTATATTATTTTTTTTATTATTTCATCTATTATTTTCGATTTTTCAAAGAAGTAGATATTGATTATAAATAATACATAATAGAAATACAATATAAATATTTTTTTTATTGATTTAAATGATAGATTAATATAATATACTAAACATGTAAAATAAGATCCGTTCAGCAGAGGAAACCACTTAATAAGATCTTTAGGAACTTATTTAATAATGACTGATTTCTACTTTTAGATTATAAGAGAATCACCAACTTGTTCTTTCCTGGTTAATTGTTAACCGCCATCTTGGGTCTACGTGTAGAGCTGTAGATCAAATGTAAAGGCCTTGAATTGAAGCATCACCATAAACATATATATTATATATACACATGTGTGTATCTATGATCACCGATCACCGATGTGAGAGCTTAAGATGACGTCGGCGGCAAAGTGGGGATAGTATGTATGTATGTGTGTATGTATATATATATATATATATATATATATATATATATAAAATAATAAATAAAAATAAAAGAATGATTAATGATAAATAAATAATGATTATGGCATATATAATTATATGATACAAAATTAAAATTAAATATCAACAAAACTATAAGCATTTAATATATATATATATATATATATATATATATATATATATATATACAGATACAGATAATTAATATTTTTTATTGAGTCAGTATAATATAAATAATAGAAAAATAATCTATCTATATACATATATACACGTGTATATATACGTGCTATTATTTTTTACTTGCGAAACCGCAACAACAATGCGCTTCCGTAGCGACTTATACGAGACAAAGAATTGTTGGATGATTATTCAGAAATTATGACTCAACGTATATAAAGTATATTAAGCACATATATACTTTCGCAATTTTATGTATGCAGCTGCATGAGACTGTGCAGGACGAAACTGTTATCGTCGTAACAGAGTTGATGTTATCTTACATAGAATTATGTTAAGGTATTTAATATATCATTTACATACGATTCGCACTTGTATATTTTCGGAATTAAGCTATTTAATGCTGAGATAAAAGTTCTTATAGGATTTAAAAGATCAACTTTTCTTATGAAAAGAAAATGACATGGACACATGGAGAATATTTTGAATAAAATAAATATACAGTTGTTCTGTGTGTGTGTGTGTGTGTGTGTGTATATGTGTGTGTGTGTGTGTGTGTGTGTGTGTGTGTGTGTGTGTGTGTGTGTGTGTGTGTGTGTGTGTGTGTGTGTGTGTGTGTGTGTGTGTGTGTGTGTGTGTGTGTGTGTGTGTGTGTGTGTGTGTGTGTGTGTGTCTGTCTGTCTAAAGATTATAACAGACTTTACTTGACTTGACATTAAAATTAAATTTGTTATTTTGAAATTTTATTGCTATAATTTAATAATTTATTTTCACAAAGCTTCTCTCTCTTTCTCACACACACACACACACATAAACGAGATGAAAATAATTTATCGATAGAATTAACAATTGCCATTTTTATTTAATGAACTTAATATGAAATATTAATATATACATTATTTTAAAATAATTTTGTAAAATGAAAAGGAAAAGTTTTATATATCTTATTATATAGATTTAATTATATTATTATTCATATAAATTTTGGTATTGGTCGATTTTACGCAAACATCGCAATTGTGTCAATTTGTCTGTTTTTATGCTATGCAAATTTTCCCTGAATTTTCTCAATCTAAAATCTAACGATTCTATCGACAAATTTATGAATTTTTAATCATTATTTGTAACTCTATATACATCGCTTTCTGTGTACTCAGCTGCTGACTAATTGCATAAATTCCTTTCAAGACAGCGTCGAAAATATATTCGAAATTATCGGATTTTTTAATTTTTACTTCGGAATGTGTATATATATATATATATATATATATATATATGAGAAAAGACGAATAAAACACTCTCTAATGATTGATTCGATCAACTGTGAAGGTCAGCTGTATTTCCATAAGAACTTTTATTGTGCTTTGTTAAGAAAATATGTTTCATGTTTTATTTATTTTATAGAAACAAAGTAATTCTTAAAAAATAAGGATATAAAAAATATTTGTTGATATTTATATTTTACACGCATTGCTATGTTCTTGCGCGTATATATTTTCTTTTCGCGTAATTTTTATATTCAAAGCATATTGATTTGAATAGTTTGTTTTCGATAAGATTTGATATATTGCTTGTGTTGTTCTCTCTCTCTCTCTCTCTCCTCTCCCCCTCCCTCCCTCCCTCCCCCCTCTCCCCCCTTTCTCTTTCTCTTTTTGATTACGTTAGCTAAATCACACAAAACGCATCTCATTCATCAATGAACGATATTATATGTTAAAAACTATCCTGCAGAAGGTACGTCGAATATGCGTGCGCACACGCTTGGGGTCGGCTGACTTCGAGGAAACGACACTCTCGCATTCCCGAAGCTCTCTTTCGCAGTGTTGCGAGATAATGTTAACGTTACGAGACGCAAGGGAATCAGTACGCTTGTGAATGCACGCGAGTGAGAACGTGTGTTGGAGTTTGTGACTGCGACGAGTTCGATGTGCCGAGCGTACCGACAGATTAATTGTTTTATCCTCGTTTAATGATATATCGAACAAATGTGAGTGTAATTTATCTTATTGTTTATACAAGAGAGAAATATTAATTATATTTGCATCGATCATTATTTTGCATGCGAATCAATCGTGATTTTTACAAGAGGATAATTAACGAGCTAAATTGTATCTTATACCAATTTTTACAACATGTTTTTTTTCTCGTTGCAATGTAAGATAATGCATTATAAATTGTATAAGGAAGATGATGTTACTTATAATTAAAATTTTCAATCATGATTCGGAAAAATATAATTCAATGTTTCTCTCTATAATTCATTCGAGATATCGATCTTCCCTCGTTTACATCTATCATTTTCTAAATGATTTAGTTTTACATATAATATGAAACTTGAAGCTGTTCTTTAATACAAAGAGGAAAAGTGAAAGGACCTCTCGTATTTTCTGATCTGACGTACGATTCCAAAGTTCATTATATATACAACAGTGCTGTGTATGATATTGTGATCAATAATTAAAAGTCTACTCGAGTCTTTATTTTAAATTATTTTTATGAGTGAAGTGAAACTGAATTGATAGTCATTGAAGCAAACTGTGATTGATATAAAAAGAAATAAAATTTATATATGATAATTATAAATTTCATCATGTGTTTAAATTGACTTCCCAGACAGCACACATGTCCAAAAGACATCTAAAAGACTTCTTAAAGACGTCTTAAAGTCCTTTAGACGTCTTTAAGACGTCTTTTGGCCTTTTTGTGCTGTATGGGTTTATATTACTGTGTGTATTCACAAAATATTGTGATCTCTTGATATTTGATTTATTTCTGACCGTTACATATAATGCAAATTTTCTTAATTTTACGTAATGATAAAAGATAAAAATTTCCTTTCGTAGTAAAAATATGATATTTAACATATTTATAATCCATGGAGAGAGAGAAAGAGTTAAAAGAGATAAAAAATGTATTTTTAAATAATAGATTTTTATATCAAAATCATATCAACAATATCTTACAAACTGCTTAAAAGAACATTTGATAGCTTTAAATTGTTAATATTAACAGCAAGCACGTGACAAATTACGTATCTATCAATTTAATCAATTGGCTTGTAATCATGCAATACATCAAAAACACTTAATATTCCTTCTATCATGAGTCATTCATACTAGTAAAGACATATTTTATCTGGAAGCATTTTTTAGTTTTTACATTTTTGCAGTACAGTGTGATATATATGTAAAAGAAGTCCGTGATCTATCAATTGTACTTTATCAGACACTTTACTCGCTACTCATTGCTAATTTGCTTTAATATTGGAAGCGCGTCAATGCTTGTGCATGTGTATTTGCATATAAAATTAAGCCTATAATATTACGATGTACAATGCCGCTAGTTAGACTATAGCAAGTGCAAGAAAAAAAGACAGGTGCAAGTGTTAACTAATCGATAACAAAAGATGATACATAAACCATACAATTTTTTAACTTTGAACATAGAATATTTATTTATACGATGAGTGATTTTTTCACAAGAATTTATATACATATCTTCCTTAATAAATGTAAAGAGAATTTAGAATATTTCTTCATGTAATAATATTAAAATTTTATGCAGTCAAATAATGAAATAAAAATGAAATCTACAGTCGCATTACTTTGTTATATCAATATTTCTTATTTAAATAGTTACTTAACATTAAGTATGATTTTCATATTTATTTCTTTGCTTACATAAAATTTTTTAAAATTATTTTAATTATTTTTAAATTTTTCGAGCTAAAAGTGTTCTTTTTTGAGAGTACTCTGTTTATCGATTTTAACACTCTGATACGTCTTTCCTGCTTTAGCATATATTTAAAGGATAATTAACTTTGAAAGAGCTAAGTGACTTCTTTAAGCATTTTAATGCAGAGGGTTGTCTTTATTCTATTAAAGTGCTTTGTCTCTTGTCTTCGAACGAGCGAATTTTTGTTAGAGTAACGTGTTTGCGAGAAGAAGCCAAGAGTTCAGGGGCGTTAACATAACTGAAGCCAGAACAATAATTATGCATGATATTATCGAGAAGCAATCGCAACACCTGGCGGATCTCCGGTCAGGGGAAAGCGAAGTACATCCGTCGACTCACCGTCGACATCAGTTTAACGATTTACGTGCTGCACGAGCCCTGACACAGACGCACATTCCGACGAATTAACTTTAAATGGCCCGCGGGGGAGGCTCCCGCGAAGCTTAGCACGTGCGACTAGACCTAACTGGAGTAAACTTTTGTGAACGAATTCTATTTTAGAAACTTTTGTTCCAATAATTCATATTTTACAGTTTAAGAATATTTTTTAATTAATCTTTCACTCTTTTTCCATGTAAACAAAATAACAAATGTATAGATATATTTAATAGTAACTAATAATTATGATACTCATTATTCAGAGTTCGATAATTTTGGACAATAAGTACGACTGTTATAATATTTTACTATCAATTAATTATGTTTCATAATAGTTTATAGAATATAGATGTAAATATTTTTTCATGTAAATAATTTTTCTTCTTATTTCAAATATTTAATATTGATTTATGAAAATAATAACAAATAACTGTCAATGGTAATTAAATAATATTACTTAATCCTTATCAAAATAAATCTAATTCGTTTCGATATTTATGAAATTTGGATTAAGAATATTTTGATATAACGATTATTTTAAATTTAACTACTAACGGCAAAATGTGTTTATCACCAATATGTTTATTTTTAAAGATGTCCTATGTTATTAATCTTTAACTGTAACTGATAGCAATATTCAGATTTTTTTCTTATGAGTCTTTCTTTTGTGTAGATCATTCAAAATGTCACGTTATTTGAATATCGATTATGTAATTTCGATCGAATTAAAGATCGATATAATATTGTTTGTAAAGAATACATATACATACACGAAAAGAGTATCTCTGTAATTGACACTTGTCAAATGTCACATAATTTCTCAACGAACATGTATCATATTTATCAGAATAAATATTATGATATACATGATATTTAATACCATAATAGAATCGTGTGTGCCACTTGCGAAAAATGAGATAAGATTATATAAGTAAGAAAGTTTTCAATTAATAATTCATGGCTAAAAATCCACTTTTAAATTATTTTAATAAAAATTATAATAATAATTATTTTAATAATAATTCTAGTAATGATTGCATTTCATTTATAAGTTTGTTACATAAATAATATTTGAAAAAAGATACAAATCGACTTAAAATACTTCTTCTCAGGAAATAACTCTCATTACACTTCATTATTGTAATAGCGGTAAAGCTTAATATCAAATGGTTTAACAAGTACATTTACTTCCACAGTTGCTATGAATAAGACAGAATTCAACATCGTCCTAAGCACAGAGACACCGAAAACCTCGACCTCGAGCGTGATTCATTCTCACATTCCGGTGCCTAGAGTATCAACTGCGATCAAGACTCAAGAAAGATGCCCTCCAAAGCGTAGAGGGTCCTTCGAGAGATTGGGCCGCGGATCCGTGGCCGCTCAAAAAGCGTGCTTTGAAAAGCTCGAAGCTTCCGTCGTACAACTAAGATCACGTAACAATAATCAATTGTCAACTTCAAGCATCGAGATACGAAATTCCAAGGAGAAGACGACGCCTGTGAGCAATTATAAGACGAGCGACGTTTTCAAGTTTAATATGGATAACAGCTTTAGCGAGATCAAGTGGAAAAATAAATATGAAGACTCGGAGAAGAAGCGAAAGCTTTTGCTACAAAAGAATGAAGCTGGTAAGCGTCAAATGACGTGCGATAAATAAATAAATTTAACAATTACATGAATGGAGACATCGCATGGATAATCGCTTATTAAATTTGCTAGATTTGAAATTTTGAAATAACTGATAAAGTAAATGTACGCTGTGACATTTTTTTAACCCGATGTTTACATTATTGAATAGTTGAAAAAAGTAGAAAAAATAAAAGAAAACAAATGATAATCGATATTTATATATAACGAAAAGAGGAAGAAACAAGAAAATAAATAAATATGACATTTGTCGGGCAGATTGTCGATTTAATATATATTCATTGGATAGATAGAAATTAAACATACCTACTAATATTAGATTAATAATTGAAAGATGTCTTGATAACAAATACAAGTCAATACCGATATACACTTTGATTTTTTGTATATTATTATATTTCTAGGACATACAATTTTGTTAATTTTCTATTTATCATAAAAGAAATCATAAAAAAGTTATAATTTTAATAATTTTATAAATAATTACATTAGATATTTTTTCATAAATTCTTATATGTTTTGAGAAGAAGAAAGTTACTTTTAAACGATTGTTTCCAACGATTCATATATGTAAATGCTTGAGACTTGAGATAAAAACAAGATTTCTCTCGTTACTTTTGAAATTTCTTTTGTGGCTTGTTCTGAATATGATAAATCGACCGATGTTTCGGCGTTAATCTTTTTGCAAGACTTTCCTTGGCAGAAACTCATAAATAATGGAAAGTACATACACCACACGAGAGATTATTTTGATTGACTCAGAATGTTGTATAGTCGATTATCGTGTTGTGATTCACTGCTGTATGTAAAACGAAGGCAATGACGTTCTATTAGTCACACTGTCTATAACACGATAGAATTTTAAATTGACATAGATAAAAAATTATTGGTACACGGTTATTCGCGGAATTTGTATTCCTGGCACGATTCGTATTACATCGATTGATCGACAATCAGCAAAAAAAATTGATCAAGTTTATGGGCAGGAATAAATTGCTATTCTGTTCTAAAACTTTCCCAAAATCGTTGAATACTTCCAATAATTAAGCGACTAATGCTTTTTAAGCGATTCATGCATAATGTAACGCAATGCGTCAGAGATTGATCAAGGATGTTTAAAAATAATATTTGAGATACACACTAACAAAAAAAAAAGATATGAAGAACATACTAATCAGAATTTTACGAAACATTAAAGTAAGGCAAGTTTCAATGACATGCCACATATATAATAATCTCTTATAATTTATAAAAGTCTATTGTATATATATTTTATAATATTTCTTCATAAAGCTAATTAGTGAAGTAATATTTTTCCGTATATACGGATTTTTTTTTAGAAATGAGTAATGATATCATCTCAACAGTTCTACATTCTTATATGACTCTCCGATTGTCATATGACTTAATTATAATAATTGTTAACTGATTCATTTTATTTACGCATATCTGCTTATATTTAACAACATATAAAAAATATACAAAATATTAAATAATTTACAATAACATCATGTTGTAACTTATTTCTGTTCTGTATTAGTTAGTAAAGAACATGCAGATTTGGAGAAAAAATATCAACAATTGCAGAAAGAAAATAATACGCTACAATCACAAGTTCAAGAGAAGGAACATAAGCTGCTAAAATTGCGAACAGGTGTGCATCAATCTGGAAGTCACTTTATATAATTTAACGAGTATTTTTATAAAATTGCTATCAACACTTGCTAATTTTTTACAGTTTCGGAAGCAGTGTGTAAGGAATACGAACAATTAAAACGTCAATATGATGTGGAAACGAATGCAATGCACAAAGCTATGCAACAAGCATCTCAGGTAACTTGTTTCAATCTCGATTTTTATCAATGTACCATCACAAAAAATAATCGAGAGAATTATATTTTGGTTTTTTAAAATATAATATATAATTTTATTATTAGTGGTATCGACAAAACCGCGAGCTCAAACGAAGATCTCAAATTATGACGCAAAAGTTTCTACATAATAATCCAGAGCAATCATTGGATTTTGATTTATCCGACGAAGTGGATACATCGAATTTCGAGGATTTGGATGAGCTGAGACAAACGGTGAAAGGTAATTGTAATATGTAATTAATCTTGTTGCATAAGATGTCAAATTAAAACATAAAACTGAGCTATGATTAAGAGTTTTAAATTATTTATATAAAATAAATTAACTTTAGTTATACAAGATGAACAAGAAAATATTTACTAAATTGATAAAATGATCGATCTTAAATCAAATATTAATTTGCAGAATTAAGCGGTGAAATAGCGCGGCTTCAGACAGAACTTCATTCTGCGCGACTTCAAGAATTCGAAGCTCAAGAGCAGGTGACGCAATTGACTACACAGCTGGAAGAAGAAAGAGCTCTCCGAGAAAAAGGTAAAAGATAAGATATATCCCATAATCTTTTTTTTGTGATAGATAACACGACTAAGCGACTAATTCGTCTTTCTTATAGGAGAAGAGAAAATTAATGAAATGAAGGTTCACAAAGGAAATATGGAAAGAATTACAAAAATGGTGGCTGAAGAGGTGCAAGTTTTGAAAACGCAATGTGATCGTGAGAGAGAAAACGCGAAAATTCTCAAGATAGAAGCTGAAAAGGTGAATTACTAATTCTTACAATCTTTGATTTAATTTTGATAATCATTAATAATTTAATTACAATTTTATTTAAAATTATGCATGTAATATTATTTTAGAGTATCACACACAGAGTAAAACTCGTCATTATTTTAAAACTACATGTGTTTATAAGAAAATTGTAGAGAAAATATGTTTCGAAAAGTTAAATTATATTAAAAGATATAATTATTTCTATATAAATCATACTGATTAGCTCGATTGTTTAGGTTCAAAAAGAACGAAACGTCTTAGCGCATCAAAGCGCTCTTCTTATGGCGGAGGTCGGAGATGATCCAAATGGAAGATTATTAGCTGTTTTGCAAGAAGTGGAATCTTTAAAGAGACTATTAGAAGAAGAACAGCAGACGCATGCTTCCCAAATACAGATGTTACAGGAGAAACTGGAAGAAAAAGAATCGAATGTAGAATTTGAAATTGTCGAAGAGAAACTGAAGCTCGCAGAATCCGAGTTAGAAGTTGTTCTTCAGAGAGCCGAAAGGGCCGAGAAAACAATAGAAGAATTGGAGAATGTTGTTCGATGTTTAAAACAAAAAATCAGCGAGTTAGAGGAGAAAGTTTCGAAACCGCCACCGCCACCGTTACCTCCGCCTCCCCCACCGCTACCAATATCGATGACTGGTCAATCATCGATAAAATTGCTAACTAAGGAAAAATTGATCTCCGAGCGTTCGGCTGTAAGTGACATGGAGAATATGCTTGGCATTGCACAAAAAAAAACACCTGCAGTAACACAACAGCCTGGTAATTGCACAGTTCATTATTTTGTTAGTTATGAATTATTATACACACACAAATTATCACGAGATATGAAATGTCAAATATTTTTAGCTATTGACGATATTATCAATCAAATCAAAGGCGGACGTTTCACGCTAAAGCATACAGATGTAAGTATAAAATTAGACTATGTAAGTATTTAAAATACATCAAAGATATATTCATAACATTGTTAAACTCTAAAACATTTTTTAAATTTTGATATCTGTTAAATATTTTTAGACATGTTCTCTATTATTTTCGAATAAAGTATAGCATTACTTACAATTATCTCTGTTATGTATATACTTGAGTAAAATATTGATTTTAGAAACAAAGAGAAGAGGAGCGGAAAAGACGGCAAGCAGAAAATACGTCGCCAGCAGTTTCTGAAATGTTAAATATTCTTGGTACCATGAGACGGAGAGCTAAACCAATAAGGCAGTCATTCAAGTTTACAGACGCATCATCGTAGTAATGGATGTTGCTTAAATGAAAATAATTTGTAATTCCAGAAAGGTTTGAGTCTCAAAATCAGCTAAATCATACATTATTAATTTTACAATATGATATATCTTTCTTGTTTTATTTGTACATTTGCGTTTTATATCTATTTTACTCGTTTATCTAAATTTATGTATACAAAACCTATTTATTCAATTATAAAAGTAATGTCTATATTGCTATATAGATTTACCAAATGAGATCAAATGACGAAGTTCGATGTAAAATTGATAGATATTTTGCTAGTATAATTTATAAAAAAAATAGAAGAATAAAAGTGTGAAAGGGCGAAATTCATAGAAACAGTTTGTAGCATAAGCGCTGTATAAAAGATGTATTATAAAAAATTTAGTGCACATACCATTGTAATTACACTTTGTCATACGCAGGTATCAAAGAAATTTTCATTGAAAAGCACATTTTCTTTATATTGCAAATACAAAGTTTTGCAGTAGGCTCAGCTATTTTACCAATATTAATATCGTTTATAGAATTAGTTAAGAAAATTGATTTTGTATTTTCTCGAATATGGATTGCAATTTAGAAGCTTCGAAAAGAAGAACTCGTCTATAAGGTATCATTTCATCATCCGTTTCAGTCCATTTTCCAGATAAGCCACTGTCTGCTTCTTCTTCGACAGAAAATTCAAAGCTAACAGTTGATTTTTCTGCAAAAATTTCTTCTTCTGGATTGCTCCATAATATAAGTGGTTCATTGTTAGTGTTTTTATTCTTGTTTTTTAACTTCTTTCCTATTTTTTTATCTTCCGACTTGTATAGTTTACATATAAGTATATAATAGGAGAAATTAAATGGCATATTTCTACTATTGGCACGTTTCACTTCAGAAATTAAGTTTTCGAAAAGTGGCACTGATATCTTGGCTGGAATGTTGACAAATCTCTCATTTATAAGTAAACCCAATTGTGCTGCGTCATTCTCCAATACATTCTTTATCATAGCGTTAGCTGTGTCTGTTGCATGCTCATCTGCTAGTTGTTTCAATAAATCCCTAAGCTGTTGTATACATACAACATTCTGGAAAAGATTCAATTTTCGTTTTTACAAAGAATTCAACCAGAGATTGAAAAAAAATAAGTTCCTTTAAAGAACAATTACATATCATTACTAATTTATGCGCACCTGTTTATCGGAAACATTAATGACAGTTGTAATACCAAATACATCATTGACATCATCGTCATCATCGTCGGATTCATCTATTTCGTCAGACTGTTTCACAACAGATCCTACATAATTCTGAGATATTATCAAGTCTGTTAGTCCACCTAAATCAATATGTGCTTTGAGAAAAAGTTGTTGCAATAATGTTTTGATTCCATGATAATCTGGATCTTGTGGATTACGACCCTCAAAATCCAATTGAAGTTCCATTCCCTAAAATTGATTACAGCATTTTATAGATTATATTGTTTGCAAGTGTAAAGCTTAAAATACTTGTTGAAATATTTCTGATAAAAATTAGGCGTGCAACAATTAACAATATAGATATTACTGTACATATAGCAGATTTTGTATCAAAATATCCGTAAAAGATCTCTCATCTCTTGCTTAATTAAGAATATTATAATACATGTGATAAATATATATTATTAGATAAATATTGTTAAACTATATGATTATTCAGTCATAATTTTTCAGCTCGTCGAGTAACATTCGCACCAGTCAAATTAAAGTATAATCTCGAGAGATTATTTTGTCGTGATTTATTATTTTTACATGCGCGAAAATCGGTGAATTAAGCTCAAAAAACTGAAATAAATCTCTAGCAGAAAGCGACCGCGTGTTCGAAAATGAGGTTAGTTCGCTCGATAAGATGACATGTCGCGCGATATAAACAATTATTTCTTACTTGCTCATCCGCGACTTCATATTCTTCATCCTCGCTGCTGGAGGAGACGCGATCTTCATCATCGTGTAATTTTTGTCGAATTTCACGCTTTTTCACTGGAGCTGCCATTATAACGATTCAGACGACAGTGACGCACTAACCCACGGACACGTGACAAGGACAGCACGTCACTGAGTCACGTGATAATTTAGCATAAAAAAAAAGTAAGGATCGAAAGAACAGGAAACATGTTTTTTATTCTAAAATAAATATGCATATGTGATGTACTGAAACGTGTGTAGAATATATACGAGACTTGTCAAATCGTAATGTCATCAATTTCTAAATGACAAAATCTGCACTAAATAAAAAAGAATTTAGAAAATTATCTTACAGATAATAAATCATTCAAGATTACAATTCTTATTTTTATTCCATAGTTTGCTATATTACAATATTTCTCACGGAATAAAGAGCGATTTACCGATTTTTCTCTCGTCGGTAAATCATTCTTTATTTTATCGATGAGAAACGAGGAAGAAATTCCAAGTCACGTCGTCGGGTGGCGCCACTAACAAGTTCTTTTTTTTGCGCCAACTTCGCGCGTTACGGGCGCAAAAAATACTTTCACTAGTTTCACTCGATTAAACATGCAATTAAGATGTTCGTTTGCATAAGTGAAAAGTGTGTGTCGAGCAGTGCGAGATTTCGAGCAAGGGATTTTGTCCGCATTAGGTGAGTGTTGAGCACGCAACAATCCTATCTTCACTTTATATGAGATTATATTTTCAATATATGCATACGTGATAATCTTTTCTCAATATTGAAAAATTTATCTTTCGAAAGTACGCCATCTTTATCTGGTGCATCGCGATGGCCGAAAACGTAAGTCGTAATCCTGATCTTTCTTTCGCAAATAATACAGAGTTTGTGATAATAATACGAGTCTCGACACATTATAATTATATATTTGAAGATTATAAATCCAAGATGAAAGAGCGCTTGTTCACAATCGAGAAAAACCTGAGCTCCGGAATTATATCTACCTAGTGACGTGTGAAATTTTCCCACGAGATAATCAAATTAGATTTTATTCCAGGGAGGGAGGAGCGGGGTGAAAATGACGAAAATACGCAGAAAGAGACGAGAAGAGAAACGGATTCGAGCTCGTCGATTCTCCGACGATATCGCGAGGGAACGCGAGATACTGGGAGCGGGACGCGCGGCAAAATTCAAATTCCCGGAGCGGAGTCGATCACGTGCAGCGAAGCGGAGCGAGGCCGCCCCCGCCGTTGTCGGCGCTGCAACTCGCCGAAATTCGATTAAAGTTCTCGCGCATGGGCCGAAGGAAATGCCGTTTTCTCGAATTTCCCGGAGTCTGTCAGGTGGCACCACGGCGTACGTCGGTCCGGGCCAGGGCGCTACGCGGGCGAGCGTACACGGGAGAGAGAGGAGCCAGTGCCCCTTGTAGGTTATCGAAAGCACGATCCCAAGGCGCCTATACACACTCGCTGACGTAGACAGCAATAATTGACCGACACTGACCGACAACAACAATCATCGTCGATCGGCCAGTCCTTTTTGTCCGCGCTCCCCCGTGACGTTTAGTGAGTGCTTTGAGCTGTGGCGGGCGGTGAGATGGCTGTCACTCTCTCTCTCTCTCTCTCTTTCTCTCTGTTCTTTTTTTCTATCTTTTCGTTTCTTTTCCTTCTTCTCCCGCCCCCTTTCTCTCAGTTTTCTGTTCCTCTGGTGTTTTGTTCGAATTGTAGATCGAGAGCGTCGTCACCCGCGAGCGCGTTCCTTTTTTTTTCGATAACGTGCGCGCGGAGAGAGACGCGTGAAGGGCCACTTTCGCGCGTTGTCGACTTTGGAAAGACATTGGAGATACCTTACCGAGGGGACGACGTCTCGCGATCGCATCGCGGAGCTGGTTATCTTCTAGATGTGTTCGGCTGAATAGATGTTTCGACACACTTGGTTCGGACCCGGTTGTGGTACGCATACAACCTGCGTACACGCGCCACATCCTACGCAATCACATCACACACACGCATACAGATGTATACACCCATCCACACACGTATGAAAACACGTACCTCCATATGCAACAATTGCTTCTGGTTCTTGGCTGTTCGATGTTTCTTAGCGCTGTTCCGTATAGCGTAGCTGTCTCACCTGCCTTGGACTGTCTACTTTACGTTTCCTGCTTCCATCGAAAACACTCGCTCTCGCGAGGCGGTTTATCGACGAGCTCGATTTTTGCGCGAAACACTCGAGGAAGAAATGTCCTCTTTCTCGATTCGTTCTATGTCCGTGTTGTGATGTTTAGGTGATAATTTTACGTGTTACTTGCGCGCGAAATGGAACGAGAGGTACGACACTGTTATATCATGTATGATACCTCGACGATTTTGATTATAAATCGTCTGCGTTTAATTCGCGAGACTAGGACGATTTTCAATATATACTCGAGATACAAAGCACGTTTCTATTCATGAAGATCAAAGAGAGTTTCATGGGGCATAATATAATGTCCATAAATTGCGTCTTAAACTTTCTCTCGATGTCTTTGTGAAAACCCGATAATGTCATTAACTTAAGGAAGGTCTATGATAAATCTACTTTTAGTGATTCTTGTCATTTTACTTTTATCGTGCAATATAGTGTTAAATTTCAAGAATTCAATATCAAAATTAAATTAAATACAATTTCGAAACATATATACAATATTTTTCAATTTTATAAAATTAAAAGAAAAGATGTAAGAATCTTCATTCAGATAACGTTGAAAAATAAATTTTAACTCGTCAAAATGACAAGGAAATGTTAAAAATGTCGAGATTATTAAAAAAGCATCGATATAAAAAAAGTACGGTAATAATTATCAAGAAAAAAGCCGACATTTATTTCTATTAGTCGGACGTAACGCGAATAAACGTCCATCAATTCCCGTGAATCGCGTTCGAGGACATCCTGAGGACAATTTATAACGATTACCCCTTTAACTTCTAGTGCGCATTGCGCACTTTAAGCTGTTACATGCGCATCGTAAGCTGTGCGCTTAAGCACGCTTTACATTAGGACTTATGCGCCGTTTCGTGTCCCTTGAAACTTACAGGGAAAGTGTATTTACATATCTGAAATATATAAAGTAGCCAGCAAACACAAATGTTTATTAAAGATCGAGATGAAAGCGGATTATTTTACCTTTACATTAAAAAAATCATTCAATCATTGGAGTTTTAAGTTCGCAATTAAAGTTGATACAGTATTTCGTATACATCCATTTTTAATTTAAATTAAAAATAAACTAATTTTCCTTTGTCGTCAAGAATTCAATTTTTATTTTAATTACTATGAATGAAAATATTCGTTAATAACAACGATACTTTTATTTAATGATATAATTTTAATATGTATTTTAATATGTATTTTTAATACGTATTTTTAATATATATTTTTATATACAATAGGTCTTATTCGAAAAAAATTAAAAATTTTTATTATATATACTATATTCGATAGTCACTCCATTTATGGGAATAAAATAATAATACGAAAATTATTTTTGCACATAGCAAGAAACTTTTTTTTCAAAGGGCCTGGTTCTCTCTGCGAAAAATGCTGGTGAAATTAAATTCGACTTTCTCGGGTTCGCGTAAATTGTAAGGCTATTTCGGCTTTAATGTAATATCGCGAAAATCGCTGTTATTGGCAATTGAGCGAATATCAGCGGCCGCAAAATCGCGAATGTCAGTTTTTCCGCTCGTACGTGCGAAACGCTTTTTTTCCCGGCCTCTCTCCAAGTACCATACACGCTCTACGAACGAAATTAAGCCATATGGCTACATCGTAGGGGCGTGCTGAGGTCGATGCGCCGCGCAACTGGTTGATTTATCGGTGCTTTTCGCGTAGCGAAAACTAGCGAGAGGGTCGAATTGGATTACGGCGCGTGCACAAATTGCTTTATTCAAATGCAATTTTAGGTCGCGCGTCTTCCGCAGACTGCCAAAGAGGGCCGGTTACGTAAACGGGGGAGGGGGAGGTGACGTTCTTTTCCGTCTCTCTCTTCCTTTTCTTCTCGTTCGTGCATATAAGAGTCGGATGCTGAGACGAGCAATTTCGCAAACGAATTACGAATTATCGTCTAATCGTGTTCTCTACGTAAATTTTCTCGCAATGATGATTGAAACGAGCTTCTTAGTACAGCTTTAGAGAGGACAAAACCTTCGTATTCAATTTACTTGGCTTTCACAAGCACTTTAACATCTACGGATAAGACATCAATATAAGAGATTGCTTGGAAAAGACTGAAATGTAATTGTATCATATTATTTCAATCAACTTTTTTTTGGTTTTCTTTTCAATATATATATATATATATATATATATATATATATATATATATATATATATTTAATAATAATGGCTCCTCTCGACATTTCCATAATTCAAGAAAAATAAAGTCTAAGGAAACTAAGGTCTCATTATCTGTTATTATAATCAAAATCGGACTATCTCTAATCAAATAATTCGAAAATCTTTTATGAATAAAGTTTATATATATATATTAATTTTAATATATATTATTAGAGTTAATTTACTGTATTTTTCAAAAATAATTCTCAAATTATTGGATTAGATATGTCACGGTTTTAATTATAATGACTTGTAATTTTTTTTAGGTTTTACTTTCCTTGAATTACGGAAATGTCAAGAGAAGTTATTATTTATTGCAATCTTCCAATTTTTGTTTAACCTTCGTATCTCTCAGTCTTCGTATTTCGCAGATTCAATTCAATTTAATGCTGTGATTATATATTTCCTGATCGGTAATCAGGAAGTATGCTCCGATCCGTTTTCTCGTGCAATATAATTCTAACTTGTTGATCAAAGTTGGCAAAGAGCGGAGGGTTTGATCTGAACCGACATGAAAAGGGCAGCGCAAAGTCTGCAAAGAGAAACATAATGACCATTGAATCACAATTACAGCCGAAACGCGTAAACGCAGCAGCGGTTCGCGATAGTTAGTGCTAAATGTCAATCTTTCTCTATCACATGTCGATCGAGAGTCTCGTAACGCAGAGGTACATAGGGGAGGGTGACACTAGCCGCACGTGCGTAAGAGAAAAATTTACGTTCCCCGTCCATACTTCTACGAGAGATTTTTTAGACACGATTTAGACGAAAACAGTAGTGTAACATTATCATTTATTTTTGAAATTTCAATCTTAGATAACTTTACGACATATATTATAATTTTTAATTTTACGTAGAAAAAGAGAACAAATACGCAATGGTCTAATTTTGCTTTATAGAACGTTAGAAATTAATAATTAATTTATTACAAATATTAATATTCATATTAATATTTAATATATAATAATTATTATATTTTATTATTATTTTATATATTAATATTAATAATAAAAAATGTTTAATAATTAATTTTTTACGACACACGTAATATTTACCACGTTGATATGGCAATGATGTTTCGCGAACGTCGAAGCGGGTCATTACTGCGGAACGGAGAGAAAAAAAACGGAGCAGAAGACAATTCGCTTTAGAGCCCGGCGGGGGGAGATTAATTCCCGACACGTCCATTTTAGTTCGTTCGTATTCCGTGGCCGCCGTCGCATTTCAGTATCGATATACCCGGCAGGGAAAGGAGGAGGAAGTGTGGGAAGAGGAGGGGGGGGGAGGAAAAAGGGGGAAATGATTTCTAAACCGCGTCTCTCGAACTATATTTCATAGCTGTACTCTTGAATCGTATCGCACAAGCGGGTAAACAGTAAATTCATTTCGTTCAGCAGCGTCGACATCAGCTTCTTTCGGGTTTTACGACGAGGTTGCAGATGAAACGATCGGGAGAGACCGGGGAAAGGGGGGAGGGGGTGGGAAAGGGGTGGAAGAGGAAGGAAACCAGGGGATTTATTGCACTCGCGAGCCCTTCTTTATCTCGTTTTTAAAGCTTCCGCGCCGGATTGGGAATATCGTGTTACTCCTTACATCGTAACATCCGGCAGATCCGCTCTCTTCGCTTCTATCATTTTTCCTGCTCCCTTTATCGATGTTGTGCTCTCTTTGCTTCATCCTTCAACAGCGGCTTCCCGAAACCATTTATTGTTCCTGACCGTTGTTACGTACATGTCTCTCCTAAGGAGATATTATAGCATTTGTGAATTATGGAGTTCCGATCATTCAGTTACTCATTCTCGTTTCTTATTGCTGTTTTTTTTATAATGAAATGAAATGTATTACAGAATGTTTCATCGGTATTGAAAAGTAGAGACAAGAAATCATAGAAAAAGATATGAATTTTTATTTAAAAAAAGAATAAATTTATTAGATCATAAAGATTTTCAAATTCTCTAATTCTATTCTTTTTTTTATATTGCTTTTTATACTTCTCATTACATATTTTATACAATGCATTAGAACTTGAAATAACACACAGTCTGTACAATAATAAATTACACAAAATTATACAATAAAATAAAATATTTAATGTTTAAATCGATTTGCATATATATTTTGCTCAATTTTATTTCATTCAATTTCATTCTATGTCTATTGTTTATGATAGATATGATATTTAGCTGCACCAATAAACGAGATCGAACCGTTGGGAGATGAGAAAAAAAAAGCACAGTCTATGACGATATCGAGTTAATCGAAATTGCGCGAGATCGAACTTATGATGCCATCGTTGTTAAATTTATCGCAAAGAAAGGAAGGAGAAAGAGATAGGAAATGGTTAATAAAACTGTATTCTAAGTGAAACGAAGGATTTAATAACTAGCTCGGCAAAGCAGAATAGACTTCTACGATGAATGGAAGAAAGGTATATCATATAATGTCTTCGTATATAGCGAACATGGAAAGTCTTTATAATGTCAGATTGTTATATAGAAAATACTCAAGATATAACGTTTTTGATCAGCGTAATAATAGAGCTATTAAAATTTGTTCTGTCTAAATTTATTATTCG